CTTCGCCGTATGTGCTCCGAGCTTTCCCTCTCTTTCTTCTTCCCCCGCCCCCTGCATCCCTTCGCTGTCCCAGCAGCGTCATGGCGGTTTTGCGGCGCGTCTTGGCTGCACGCTTTCCTTAGCTGATCGCTCCGCGCTCCTCTGTGTGTCTTTGGGGTGGGGAGGAGGGGAGAGGATTTCTCCGTGGAGGACAGTTGTCGGCTTTCTGCGGGAGCACGTGACTGTGCAGGTTTTTCCAAGTCTGAAGTCAACAAACATGGCAGGATCTACATTGCGTTGAATGATATCTGAACATGCAAATCGTGTAGTTCGATCGTAACTAAATTTCTGTAATGTCGTGTTGCAGTAGTTAGGGATGCCTTGACCTTGATGGCCTAGCTTTGGGAAGCTAAGCAGGTTCAGCCCTGGTTAGTATTTGGATGGGAGATCACCAAGGAAGTCTATTGCCTCTGCAAAGAGGCAGGCAGCAGCAAACCACCTCTGAACGTTGGTTGCCTTGAAGACCTTAGGGGGTTGCCATAAGTCGGTTGCAGCTTGACAGCAGTTTCCACTACCATTGGTTAGAGTGTGAGTACTGCTAGAGGAGACGTTGGACTGTTAGTGTTTTTTGTGTCATCTTGCTTTGATTGTTTAAATTGTTGATTGTTTTTATGTTGTGAGCGGACCTGAACCCACTTGTGGGGTAGGGCAGGATATAGGTTTAATAAACAAACAAACATTAGACCTAGTATCTTGGAACCTGCATTCAAATCCCAACTGTGCCATGAACCTTGCTGGGTGACCTTGGGTATGTTCTTCTGTCTTGGCCCAACTTACCTTAATGGATAGTTGTGAGGATAAAATGGAGGAGGTTAAACTGAGGTACACCATTTTGAGCTCTGCAGGAACAGTGGGATAAAAATGTAATAAATATATATCTCAGTCTTTAATGTATTTATGAGAAAGTGACTAGCCTTTATTTGTGGGTATGCATGTTTAGGCTTGTAGTGTTCACTGTAAAATATTTGAATGGAAATTAAAATATCCACGTTATTAGTCACTTTTGAAAGGTACAATTATTTTTCATTTTGTTTCTAGACTTGATATAGTTTTGGAGGCTAGCTGTGTGGGTCTGCAGTAGCTTGCAGCATGCACACGAAAGCTTATGTCTCGAATAAAACTTAGTTGGTCTCAAAGGTGCTTCTGGACTCAAACTTTGTTCTGTTGCTTCAGACCAACACAGCTACCCACCTGAAGCCAGATTCCAGTCCAGTAGCATGTTAGAGACCAACAAGATTTTTGGGGTGTAAGCTTTTGAGAGTCAAAGCTCTCTTCATTAGATATATTGTCAGATATCGACAAAAGGAGCATTATCTCTTGGAGCGAATGCCCTGAAGATCTTGTTGGCTTGTATGGCAGTGCTGGACTCAAAACTAGATGTTGGCTTGTTATGTAATTGTAAAAAGTAAGATCAACATAAATGCAATTTTTAGCTTAACTTTTGCGGCTATACCCTGTACTCTTTAGCAGAGGTTGGCTATTTATATAAGGGATTTTTATCAGTTGTTGTGTTAACTTTAAGTTGATGTAACTATTTAATCACAGTATACTAGAATTTAAAATCAGTATTTTAATGAATTAACACCTAAACTGATTGCTCCTCCTATTTTGTGTAGAACTAAATATAATAATTTCCCCTCTGCACTGTTTATTAAAACCTCAGATGAGTCTTAAGTAGGAATATGTTTAAGATTTTAAATTGCATTCCATAGTTATCCCACTCTGCAGCTCTACCAGTGGATTTTAATATATATTCATAAATAAATATCAGTACAGGTGTTATACTGCACTAAAATGAAAACAGAGGGTATCCTGTTGTGTTTTACTGTACAGAGAACTTAACTTCAGAAGTAATTATCTGTATTACAGACTTTAACCTGATGAAAATCACCTCAAATGCTGCTTTAAGTCTAAGGCAAGTATTGATGACTTCTTGTTTCTTGATCCTAAACTTTTATGATTTCATCTTTAATATCCGCTGGTGCTACTGTTCTAAGATCCTCATACTGCCGAAATAGTTCATATCAGGTACATATCTAGTGACATTTTTGGTACACTATTTGCCACAGACAGAAACCATTGATTGTTACTCATACAGTTAATGATGTTTTTATCTCACTGTTCGTCTAGGTTGCTCATGATTCTCTTCTTTCCCCATCGGTGTAAGCTTTAGATACTTAAGAGGCCAAATTGACCAAGAATTATTGGTTTGTAGTTACTTAGTGAGCTTCTTGGCTGAGCGCATATTAACTTAAGTTTCCTTTACCCAAACCTGATACTCTGTACTGCATCTCCACATGTATTTTATTTAATTTTATTTAATTAATATATTTTTATAACATTACAATAATATATCTGACTAGCTGAAGCTGTGGAGAGGACAACTTTTCCACTGTTTTGTGATAGGTATAGCCAGAAGGATGGGTTTGATTTGTTTGTGTGATCTGATTCTAGTTACTCACAATTATAGGTTACCTCATCCTTATGTATGTTGATGTGTTGCTGAATGACAGCTCTCTTGAAATAAGAATAGTTGTTATGTTTCTGGGTACTGATACCAGTAGAAAAACTCTGCTTGATTTTGTTACCTAAGAACTAGAAGTCCTGTGGTTTTTCCAGCATGTTGGTTAATGAAACTTAATTCTGTCAGGAGTTAGTGTTAGCAATTTCCCATCTTCCTGATTTGGACAGTATATGTACCTGTCCAGTATTTAACTTTTTTGGAATTAAGTCATTGTCTTCTGGTTTTTTTTTAATGAGTTGGCAGTGTTGTTTCTGATTTTGTTTACATTGTATCCTTAAACTCGATTATGTGTGGGCAGTGTGGCTTGACCTTTTTATTTAATAAATTGTGCTATAATTTTCAACTAGTGATCTTATTTATCTTTGACTTAAATATAAGCCTTCCTTCTTTGTTTAGGAGAGTATCTTCATAATATCTTAGGTTTTTGACATGGAGTTACTCGGGCAAATGTTTAGGCTACTGTTGATTCTGGCAAGGAAAGCTCAGTACAAAGTTTGATTTAAATGTATTAAAAAGTAGAACTTTTTGTAAATTTGGGTGTGTGTATACAAATCCAAATTTTCTTTCTGATTTTCATTCACTAAAATAATAAAAAAAATCCTTTGTATGTGAAGCCACTGAGGAAGCCCTTTTGTCTACTGCACAGGCTGATTATGTGGAAGATTGCTAAACATATCTATCATATATAAGTTAGAAGTAGTTTGGAAACACACACAGGGGTGTGTTTGTATTACTTTAAGAAACTTAAAGTTTGATGGGCTGCTCATGCTTGCTGGCTCTGCATCATCAGGATGTAAAGTAATGGAATACATATTCTCATGCTCACTTAAAAGTGCCATGTAGTGTTCATATAAATCTGTTACTTGTTTTTTAACACAGTTTTCTTTTTCATCAAGGTGATTGATTCTGCCACTGAAGCTGTCTCTGTATCCCTACTGTAATTATCTGTGGAGTTTATTCTAAAATGATTTTAGAAGAAGCAGGTGACCTTGTACTGCAGATGTAAGCATAGTCATGATAGACTTCTGAGGATAGGAGTACAGGTAATTTGAATAGAAATAAAACTCAGTCATTAAAACAAACTACTTTTTAATTTTATCTTTTGGAACATAAAATTATGGTGGTTTTTAAAAAAATTAACTTGTTGGAAATTAAAGCTGAATTTAATGCTTTTATTAATGTGTAGGCTTTATCTTAAAATTGAATTGATTATTCTGCCAAACATGCTGGTTAATTTCAGACATCACAACAAATCATGGTTTTTACTAATCATGGGACTGGATGGAGTAATCTGTCAGCAGAAAACAATGGCAGATGTGGGTTTTTGCCATGTTCCCTTCCCCCAGCAGCCTCTTTCAGTCCTGAGAAAGTTGATTCCTGGGGTTGTGGGTTACATTTAGATTAACAGTATTGTAACTCAGGGTGGGGAGAAGGGGACGAAATTGCCCTTTGGAGTGATTTTGCTCCCTGCTTACTAGATCCATGTGACCCTGGGACACTACTTTGCTGAATTCAGAAAAGGCTTTGGGGATAGAGGAATACATTCAACATCTACATTTCTTGTGCTAATGAATCCCTAGGTTATACCCATTGTTTAGATTCCAAACCATTGCTGTTTGAGCTTCTGAACATTAAACCAATTGTTTACCAGCAGAAAGCTCTTGGTATCCCATGGTTTACTTCAGTTTTCTCTGCTCATAATGCTTAGTTGGCGTCTATGTTTATTGAGCAATGATGTGGATTTTCCAGGAAAATTAGAATTTGAAAAAATCCAGTTTAAATTCAAATATATAATTTAAATATTTAAATAATGTTGGCCAAATTTAAATGATGTTAGTCAAGGGAGGTAAATATACCATATACAAGCACTGGGATTTGTCCATGATTTTGTATCCCACACATGGCTCATCAAACATGATTAATTTGTGGTACGACAACCTGACAATTATAGATGGTGTAAGGGACCCACAAGGCCTTTGGGGGGTGTGCATCTCATTTTCCCCTTCTTCTCCTTCTCTGGAAACTCCCATAGCTTCTCCACTTTTCCTGCCTCCTCTCCTTCCTACCCACTATCCAGCCTACCTTTATCTGTCCCCTGTATTCAGTTTTCCCTTCTTCCATACCTTGGGCAGCCTCTCCCTGGGAAAACGCTGGCCACTGGGCTGGGCCCAGTTGTGCAGTGAGGAACCTGCAAAGACTTGTGAGGAGCACCTCATTTCCCCCAGTATCCCTGTCCCCACACTATTCTTTCCTTCCTTGTGGCAACCCCTATATCCTCACATTTCCTTGCTTCCTTCTCTCCTACCTACCCATATCTGCCAACATTTTATCTGACCCCCTGACTTCAACTGTATTATTTATTTATTTATTTCATGTATACCTCTCCTTTCTCTACAATGGGGATCCAAAGCAGCTTACATCTCCTTCATTTTATCCTCACAACAACCAGTTGAGGTAAGTTAGGTTGACAGTATGACTGGCCCCCAATCACCCTGTGAAATTCCCCAGCAAAGTGAGGATTTGAGCCTGGGTCTCCCATATCGTAGTCTGAAACTCTTACCACTACACCGCACTGGTTTTTGTGGGGTGGCTACTGTAAGACATGCAGGTCACATGGTCGCAATTAGCCTGGTAGTTGCTGTGAGGCCTGGCCCTGCTGAGTCCTCCCTTAAAGGCCAAAATATCCCTGGAAAGGGTCCTATTCCTCCCCCCCCCCCCCCCGTCTTTTCTTGACAAAAACCAAAGCTTGAAGGCTGGCCATACTGTTGTAGTTTCCTAGCAGTGGTGATTCTATTATTTTGGTAGGTCCCCCCCACCCATTCAGATTTATCTGCAAACCTGGGATATTTTCAAGGTTTGTAGAAAGATTTGTCATGGCTTCAGTCTCTGGATTTAAATATCCACAGGTTTGGCTATGCTAACAATTTGATACATTGTCACTTATATATGTTTCGAAGGGACACTTTATACAACAAAATGTTGGTTCATACTATGACGATGTTAATTGTATATTTCACTGGTGTTTTTCAGGATGATGAATAGAAAAGAAAAACTGTGAAATACTTACAAATTTCAACCAGTTTCCATAATGGAGAACCAGCCAGTAGTGTTAGGAAACCAGGATGGAGGGGCAGCAACAGGCACAGCACCTGCTTTTTATGTCCTGGTGAAACAGCCACAGACCAATGGAAAAGCTGATCAAGGAAACTTAGTTTCAGATCGAGACAGTTGTGGTATTGCTAGCAATGCAGCCGTACCAGTAAAATCTAAAGGGAAGACGTCCCTTCCTGCGGATTGTACCTCTGGAGGCATTACTGTCACCTTGGACAACAATACCATGTGGAATGAGTTCTACCATCGCAATACAGAAATGATTCTCACTAAGCAGGGAAGGCGGATGTTCCCATATTGTCGATACTGGATCACAGGCCTGGAATCCAACCTGAAGTATATCCTGGTCATGGATATTTCTCCCGTTGACAACTACCGCTATAAATGGAATGGGCATAGTTGGGAGCCCAGTGGAAAAGCAGAACCTCACGTCTTGGGGCGAGTATTTATTCATCCGGAATCACCTTCCACAGGTCATTACTGGATGCATCAGCCAGTGTCTTTCTACAAACTCAAACTTACTAACAATGCCTTGGACCAGGAAGGGCACATCATCTTGCACTCCATGCACCGCTATCTACCTCGCCTACATTTGGTGCCTGCCGACAAAGCCACAGAAGTTATCCAGCTGAACGGTCCTGATGTCTGCACCTTCACCTTCCCACAGACAGAATTCTTTGCTGTGACAGCCTATCAAAACATTCAAATTACACAACTAAAAATAGACTATAATCCATTTGCAAAAGGGTTCAGGGATGATGGACTGAGCACTAGGCCCCAACGTGATGTTAAACAAAATGGTAGCTCAGACAATGAAGGAGGTGGTGGTGTGAGTTCTCCAAGCAATTGCAGGCATTCTACTGAAGCTGATCTGTTTCCAGAGCAGAGGAGTCTAGAGCCATCCTCCAGTGCAATATGTAACACAGATCTGGAGAGAGAATTATTCAGTCCAGATCATGACTTTTTGAGCCTTACAGAGAGAGATGCACATATTTCTGATAGGCCAGCATTGAAGCAGGAAGCTTTGGAAAGGTAGGATTGGATTTACTTTGAGGGGAAACACTCATGCAGATAAATACTTGCTATTCTGATAGTATATTGTTCCGGAGCTGATTGTATAACCAAGTGAGTTTGAATTATAAATCTTTGCTGTGGTTAAGTTTATAGTAAAAGAAAACTGCAGGTTAAACATGTTTTTGAAGAATAAATACATTTGGTTTATACTAATTATTCCCCAAAGTATTTCTTAATTGGTGTTATTGCTATCCCCAGCCTGCGTATAGTAAGAGTTCTAGTATATTTGGAAACACTTTAAGTGCAATCTCTGTCGATGTTTCCATGCACATGGAATGTGATAATGGTACAGAGAACAAAGTTTCCTACTTTTTGTTATGCCTCTGAGAATCCATATGCCCAGTCATTTGCGAATCCTTTGTAGGGAAGACCTCTCATGTGTCCAGAGAAGATCTGGCTTTGAAGACTGCTTGAGAACTGTATGTAGGCTGGTCAGAGTTCTTTAGAGAAAAAGCTTGGTATTAGTACATAGTTTTTTCTTTGTGTATGTCTTTGTCATGAATATTTGACTTGGATGCATCTTTCTTGGTTTTAATCACTTGATTGAGCAAGGGCCTTTCTCCTCTGATGGTGGGATGGTATCCCTGAGTGGGTTGTACCTTTCCTTCACTCCAAGGACGATCCCATAAAAATCTGTGTTTTCCACTGCAAGGAATTCATCTCTCCTCTCCCTTTTCTGCTCTTGTTTTCTTTGCAGAAACAGGAGTGTAAAGAACTCTTGTTCTGTTTATGATTTTTTGAAATGAAACCTTTTAGTAGCAGGCATTGGACACTTTCTATCCTTACTTCCTTTAACTGAGTGTTCCATGGTGGGAAAACAACCAGGCTGTGGTCTTAACAAGGCAAGCAGCATATTCTCTGGCTCAAATCCAGAAGCAATGCAGGAAAGAAGCCTCCTTAACTGGAGTCTGGATTGGGTACTGAAAGAAGTGCCATCTTCGGGTTGGCATGAGACTGCAGCTGAGTAAAGAAACTGGTGCAGGTGTATAAAGGGATGTTGTTCAGTTGCACAGTCGAGTCCGACTCTTCGCGACCCCATGGATCAGATCACGCCAGGCCTTCCTGTCTTCCGCCGTCCTCTGAAGTTTGCTCAATTTAAGTAAATTTAGCATCACAGTGGGGGTCTCATCTGTGCAGAGGTGTGGGATTGGATGACAACTACTACAGTTTGGTAGCAGATTGGAGGTGGCAGCCAACTGAGAGCTACATGCTAGATCTGATTCACTGGCTATTTCAGGATGAAGTGGCCCAATATGGCTATAAAATGGCAAGTGTCCTGCCCACCCTTCCCAGTCACAAGATTTCCCCTACACCCACCCACCAAGGAAGTGGCTAGCCATTTGTTTGGTGGGGAGAAACAGAATGATGCTACTAATGCCAAAAGTGCCTTGGAGGAGCACATGACAGTTCCTCTAAAATTAAAGCTCCAAGCAACATTATTTTCTTTCCAGACATGTTTGACGTGTCTTCGAGGAGTGAATGGTGTAACACCCTGTTCCTGAAGGAGCGTTATGAGCATAACTAAAGACTTAAACTCTGCGTAAACCAGAATTCATAGCTTTAAAATATTTGTGGATGCTCATCTGTCTTTATTGCTGAGACTATTTTTTCAACCTCAAATTATTTAGCACCTGGAGTAAATCATGCACACTAACTGCGCTGGAATCTTCCTAACCAGGACAAAAAGAGCATCTTCTGCATCCTCAGGGTTTGTTGGCTGTATACATGGAGGCAGTTTCATTCCAGACTGCTGCAGTAGCTTTACTCGTTGAGCCAGGTGCATCCAAGTAATGTTAGATGTCAGTGGAAGACATGATCTTGGAACTGGGTCCAAGGCAGAAGGACAGTTATTCTTCTTGCCTTCCATGGTGAGAGTGGACAGTATCACTGCCAAGGCATGTCAGTAACAGAAATAGGGTTGGGGAATCAGATTATGTTCCCTTAAGAGACTGCTTCTTCAGTTGACTCATGAAGCTGTCATATACTGAGTCAGACCATGGTCTATCAAGGTAAGTGTTGTGGACTCTGATTGCCAGTGCTTTCCAGGGAGATGCAAGGTGTTAAATCTAGAATCATCTGCATACCCAACAGCTGTTCTTTCATGACCACAGTCCCTCTCCTTATCACCTCTCTGACAGCTCATCACATATAAGGAATATTCAGCACACAGGCAGATTGGCAGAGCTACCAGGGCCTTGATCTAGCATAGTGGTGCACAGCTTGAGAATTTACATGGACCGTAATGGGTCTTGATAGGTGCTAAGTAGGCTGCCACATGACATGACTTAGTCTCCTGAAAGGGCCAAGATTCCTGAAAGGGTCCAGAGCAGGTTAGAGATAAAGGCTTTGTATAAAAAAGCATTGGGTTCTAGCCTACTGTCACCCATTGTTGTTTTCTTCTCTAATAAGAGAGCAACAGAAATATCATTGGGTGTGCTGCCCTATTTCTAGCCATCAGGATGGGCAAGTCCTTCCCTGGAACATCCAAGTTCCTGGGGAGGGGAGAATGGGCTTCCTCCCAACCACCCCACTCAAGTCAAACAGGGGCAGCAAAGATTGGTGGGGGGTAGTAATGTTTGCTTCTGTCCATAATAGGTTCGCGATCCAAGTGGCCTCTTGGGACACCAGCCTCATTAGGGGTAGTGCTGTACCAGAAGGCAGGTGGCAGCAGAGGAGATACATTCTTGCTCTGCTGAGGTCCATCCAAGATCTTTTATGTGAAGTGAGGGGTTTTTTTTGGCAGTGCTTTTCCAATTTCCCCAACATTTCCCATTGGAGAAATTGCAATGGTCCTCAGGCTTTTTAATGGTATATTTTCTGAGGGTGAAAACCTTGCCCCAAAAAGCATTTTACTCATTCTATATTAAAAAAAAGACTTTCTTTTCAGTGTTTGTCCAGATTTTCCATTTTTTCTTTCAGAACACTGTCCTTGCGGGATGGGATATTCCCATTTTTTCCCGTGTGCCCTCACATGTCTAGGTGAAGCACAATGGAATCTCAAGGTGCTTATTGTGATCTAGAAGAAATTTGGCAGGCATGTGATTGACCTTTCCACATTACCTTTGCACAATAAAATGCCAGGTTCATCTCCAGGTTTCTGGAAGGGGCAGAAAGCATTGATGGTAGATTGACCTCCTGCTCTTCTTCTGTGCTCTTCCTCACCATCCTTGCTTTCTGTAGAACCCTTGTGGAAGTTTGTCGGACCAGATTCCAGTGGAGTTAAAGCTGTCTCTCATTATTCTTTAGATTTTGTTTGTGTGACCCATGCTCACAGGGGCATCAATTCTCCCTCCCCCATTCAGACTGAGCTTTGCTCCACCTATATATGATCATGTAAAGCTGCCTAGTGCCAAGTCACACTATTGGTCTTATCCAGTTCAGTATTGTTAACCTACAGAACTGTTGCTGGAAGTTTTTGGAAAAAGCAAGCCCTTTCTAAACATACGCTACCTGTCTCAGATTGTCATGTCCCCACTCTGGGAGTGAGTGGGGCGGAGTAACCCTTTCAGATATTCTCTATCCAGTAAAAAGTAGAAAAGTTAATGGGAAGTCCAATGTTCTTTTTCAGTTTGGTAGAGAAGGCTGGGATGATTTTCAGCCAGCCTATAGTATGTAGATTCCAGACTGCCCACAAGATGTGGGTGTGCTGCCATAAAATTTAGGTGGGATTTATCTTTGTCAGAATTTCTTCCTGCCCTTTTGAATGGTCTTCATTCTGGTGCTTCTGTGAATTCTTGGAGCGTAGTACTGGACATTAATTACAGATTTGGGCCTCTTGCTGTCTTTGTCCATACCTGGGTCTGTAATTTAGTGACAAATTGGTTTGAAACTTTTGAGTGGCAACAACCTGTGTTGGATGCCAAGCCTGTTTGTTCCTCATTACATTTGTGTGTGTGTTTGCCTTCTGTTCCATTTGCTGGTAGTGATGTGATCATGTGACATTTTCTTACAGTTGCAGTGTATTGCCAATAGGGGTGTGCAAAAAAAAATCAGGCAGAATCAATTTCGGCTGGCAGTAAGACTCCCACATGTCAGTTTGGTCAGTACCAGCCCTGAGTCTTTCTGCCAGCCCCATGTCAATTTCAGCCCCATTATATCCTACGGGCCATTGAAGTCAATGGCGATAACATAGGGTATATTCTGGGGGCTGGAAGGGAGGGGGTTTGAGGGAGAGGCTCCAAACTCACAGGGTAGCTTCTGGAGTTTCTCCCCAAGATACCCACCAGGTTTCAAGAACATTGGACTAGGGGGTCCAATTCTATAGGACCCCCAAACAGGTTACCCCCATTCCCTCCATTGTTTTCTATGGTGGGGAAAAAGTTATTTTTTCCCCACGGTGCTGTTAGTGGCTTTGGGGGGTGGTTTGAGGGAGAGGCTCCAAATTTTCAGGGTAGCTTCGGGAGCCTCTCCCCACATAAACCCCCATGTACCAAAGCAATTGGACTAGTGGGCTCAATTCTATGGGCACCCAAACAGGTTACCCCCATTACCTCCATTGTTTCCAATGGGGAAACCCAGCTAGCAGCACTTAAGGCAGGCAAGCAGGCAGCACCCAGCAGTCAGACTCTCCCAGAGAATCTCCGGGAAAGTGACCTGTCTTGGGAGGTGCTTGTTTGCTATGAGAACAAGTGGCACACTCAAAAAGAACAAGGGGCACTGTGGCAGTGCAAGCATGCCACAGTGCCACACGGAAACCCCAAAAGACCAACAGGAACAACATTTATACAGGCTCTGGGGGTTTCTGTTTGGGGCCCCATAGAATTGGACCCACTGGTCCAATGTTTTTGAAACTTGGTGGGTATCTTGGGGAGAGGCTCCAGCAGCCTCTCCCTCAACCCCCCTCCCCTCCAGCCCCAGAATATACCCTATGTTTTCGCCATTGCCTTCAATGGCCCATAGGATATAATGGGGCTGAATTGCTGCTGAATTTCAGCGGTAATTTGGTGGCAAGCCAATCTGAATCGTTCCACAGCAGCCCGAAAGGGGCCCGAATGGGCCATTTTCGGAGGTGCATTCGATTCAGACGAACCGAATGCACTTCCCCAATTGTCAACTTTTTCTAGCAGACTTTAATACATTATCCACTGCTGAATTATATGGCAGATTCTGTGGTACCTGGTATGCCTAAAGGATTTTTCCTTGTGCATCACAAATGCAAGAAAATATAACATTTTTAGGATTTATGTGAAGTTGAGAGTATCTTTGATTACTGCCTTTCTTGTTACTTTCTCAAATCGCTCTTATGATTATCAGCAATTAAATCTATCAGGTCATGACAGAAGGGTTACCTTCACTGTTGTCAAGTATATTTTAGCAGCCTTAAAATTTGAGTAAAATTTCCTAACAAGGAAACTTTTGGAGGCCTGATTCCTCCCCTTCTTTCTTTTAAATTATCATTGTTGCCTGTCTCTATGATTCAATGGGCCTTCTAAATGTAATTAGTTGTTTTATAAAATAAATATAGCACATTGTATTTTCCCCCCATATTAACATTTTGGTAGTTGGATGTTTTTCTGTCTCAAAGCCACTGTGCTGTATAGAATTTCCCAGTACAATGAATGAGTTTACTGCTGGATTTTCCTCTGCTGTTCCAAAATCAAACGGATAGACCTTCTGTCTCTTTCCCCAGCTTAGCAGGAATTTGATCTCTAAGGTGAGAGTGACGGAGGGAGCTGTAAGCCAAAGTTACCAATCTCTTACACTGTTGCTTTTATAATGTTCAAGCCAGAGTTCTTCATAACCAGAAGAGTCTGACCATTACAACCAATCTCTTACACTGTTGCTTTTATAATGTTCAAGCCAGAGTTCTTCATAACCAGAAGAGTCTGACCATTACAACCATAAGCCTCTCTTTCTTTGGCTAAAGTCAGTGAAGAAACCACCTGAATAAGGAGTTTGAGTTATATTCTCTGTTAAGCAATTAGCATTAAAGAGCTGCTTTAAAAAGGTGCTAAAAGCCTGCCTTTACAAAAGAAGAGTAAACAGGAGGTCTCTGAAAACACAAGAGGAAGAAAAAAATAGGTAGTTAGTAAATGTGAAGGGGAGGAAATAGACACCTAACAGTGGTGCACATAGCAAAAACCTAATCTCTGTCTATTGGATTTGGAACAAATTAAGCGTTGTCAAAAAGCAGTTTAAGGAAAAAATCTATTTCTGAAATCTTATTACCTTCAATTTATAGATCACCTTGCTGATGGAGATTAAAGTCTCCTTTAGTAGTTTTCTGCTATGCATGCAGTTATGAAAGTTGATAATAAATTATTTTTGGATATTACATATTTGTTTACTGACATCAAACAGTAGGTTGTATTAGATTTTCCATTGCCAGTTGTTTGTACTCTGCAATAGTGAGGCTTAGTATCTTTCCAAATGCAAGGTGGAACTTCCTTATCTGAATAGCAAGTTGTTTAAGATACTTTTTAATGTGTATTAGTGATGTGTATGTTCTTGAGTTTGTATTGTTAAACTTGTCAAAGATTGCCCTGGGATAAAAGAGAATGTTTAAATGAATATGCACCCCTAATGTAGGCACATCTATTGACCAAACTAAACACAGACCTCAGTGCTAGTGCTTTGCTGCAGTCTCTTAAGATAAATGGCAGTGATGACCCATCAAGGGATACTAGCTCCTGAAAGAGAGCAATCCAAGTTATGACTTGTAATATTTCAACATTTGTTAAATTTAAAATAGATCTTAAAGAAGCAATGCAGCTTTTTTAATTGTGAATTTTCTTTGCTTTGCATTTTTGTTTTCTTTCTTGTTCAGCCCAGTAGCTAGTCCTTGTCAAAACAGATGTCATCTGCCATCCCCACTGAACTCAAATGGAGGCATCAATATTGTTGTTAAAGAAGAACCAGTGGATGAATATGATTATGAGTCAAGAGCATGTACAGAGGGGATAAATGTGAAGCAGGAAGAAGGAGATGAAGAATATTCGAATAACGATGACTCTGGGGACAAGCAGTCGAAGAAACACAGTGAAACAAGCAGAGAGGAAGTGGAAATTGAATCCAACAAGCAAACACAGAATAGCCAGTTGGGTGTTGCAAAAGCAAAAATGTTAAAATTGGATAGTGGGAAGATGCCTGTAGTCTATCTAGAGCCATGTGCAGTCACCAGGAATACAGTAAAAGTCTCTGCTCTTTCACAGACTCTGTTGTCACCTTCTAAAAGTGAGAGATCACCGTCCAGTTATTCAGTGGATTCTTTATCTATTTGTTTTGAAAATAATGATCTTTCCAGCCCCTTTACAACCATGAAAAATGAGGAAATGGCAGTTGAACAAATTTCTGAAAATGATATTCCACATGGGTATTCTTCAGCAAGAGACATGCTGTGGGAACCTGAAACATATAGCAGCCTCACTGTAACAAAGAAAGCATCTACCTACAGTCTCAAGGCAGTTCAAAGTAGTGGGTTGTCTTCAGCAAAAGATAACTCCGGGAAAAAGAAGACAAGTGCATTTAAGACTCCTTTGTCCCACAAGGGTATTGTTGGTAACCAAAAAGTTGTGATACCAGGCTCACGTAAGAGAGGAAGACCACGGAAAATAAAATCGTCAGAGGCTGGACAAGCACTAAAATTCACAGAAAGGTCAATTACAGCTAGCACTTGTGCCTCTTCAGGGCCTTGCAGTACCCATATAGAAGTTAAGCCTGATCTTGAGGATGTGGATGGAGTGCTCTTTGTTTCCTTTGCATCCAAGGTAAATCTATACCTGAATTAAATTTAGAGTTGACAGAAATAGTAAATAGTACATCAAAGTTGTTCATTGTATAATTACAAACTTGAAGTTGCATTCAGTTTCCCCCTGAACTGTGGATTTCACAGTATTCTTGGTATTGGTAAGCTTGGTATTGTGGGCTTTCCGTATTAGCCGGCTTCTCTCCATCTAAATTTAATTATTTAGATATTGTGGTTTAAATGATTTAGATATTATGGGTCAGGTTGTAGCTTAAATGCTACCAAATGTATTTTGTTATGTAAGCTTTTGTGAGCCAGAGTCTTCTGTGTGTCAGAAGAATTGTGATGAAGTGGCCTCACGAAAACTTATGCCACAATAAATTTGCTAGTGTTTAAGGTGCTGTGGGGTACTTTGTTATTTTGGCCATAGCTGAGTAATACGGTTAACACCCAACTCTCCTGCCCTTGAGGTTTGTGTGCTTATATCTAGATCAGTCTGCTTTACTTGACCTTTGTACTTCCTTGAATGAGTTTAGATTATCTAGTGTAAAATGGAATTTTATTAAGATAGTTAACATTAATTTTAGCTCTTTTTAATATAGGAAGCTCTTGATATCCACACTGTTGATGGAGCTGAAGAGAAAGAAGACCTTCAGAGTATACAGACTCCTTCACTAGCTCTTTATGATACATACAGTGATCCAGGTAACAAAACAGAAATTTGGCTTGTTATCAGTAGACCATCATCTGGGGCAAGCAAGAATCTCCTCCAGGTCTAGTTGCGATCTCCCTGTGGAAACTGCATGTAAAGGCACTTTTCTTTTTGTGGACAAGGGGGGAAATGATAATGGCTTTGCTTGGTTTTGAAACATTGAAAGTGGTGTCTGGAGCTCTTTCGTGCCCTTGACTTTCATGTGCATTTCTGGAATAGAGACTATGTCTTTCATGGGGCGCCATTTGGAGGGATATGTTTTGGTTTTGTAGAGTTATCTTACCTGTCTAGTTGTGGGAGTGAGACAGAAAGAGAACAGTAGTCCACGTAGTCCTGTTGTATAGCTGGGCAAACATAACTGGCTATCTAGCTGGGTGCTTTTTCTTTTCTTTCCCTTTCCCCATGCAAGAGAGAAAGAGTGCAATGGTCAGTCTTTCCATTATGTTTTCTTTTTGTGGGTGTTTTTTAAAGGTTAATTTTTCCTATTGCTGGGGCTGCTTTTTCAAGGAGGGAGAACAGTATTCCCTCTGTTCCCTCTGTCACCTCTGAACAGCTTATTGGGAAAGGAACAGTATTGTACGTCTTCCCCAGCAAGGATAAAAAGAGCTCAGGTGATTTTTTTTATCAGGACAACTGCAAGAGAAGAAAGGGTTAAAGAGACACTTTCTCTCCATTTTATTCTCCTTGGAAAGATATTCTAGTGGATGTATTTGGGAAAGCAAGGAAAGAGATTATGTGTAGTTTGACCCTGAGATTTACAAGTTTAATTGAGTTTATCAAGCTAAACACTAATGTAAAGATGACTTGTCTACTTTTTCTTCCTCTGAGAGAGAATTCATTGTAAGCTTGTTCTCAGCATCTATAGTGATACAAAGAGGACCACATGCAGGCTGAGGTTTTTATCTTGTGTACAGAATTAAAACTTCTAAGCTCAGGAGTAAGAATGCAAATGACTTAAACTAGCACTGTATGCTAAGGAAAATAACAAAACAGTGAAACACTACAGCTACCTCTTTTTGGATACAGATGTGTGTGTGTGCAGGAACAGCTCTCTTTCTCTGTTCAAAGATATGAAGACAAAAAGTCAAGCATCCTTTTTCTCCAGTGGCCTACCAGGTGCTCTAGTGGGTTAACAGATGGCCTTTAGAAGGCATTTCTTTTATGCTACCTAGTAGCACTAGTATTCAAAGGTTTGCTGCCTCTGAATATGAAGGTTTCCTTTATTAACCAAGCCTTGTAGCCATTTGTCATGACCCCAGTGGGTTGCCACCTTCTGCCGCCACCACCCTGGACTTAAGTCCCTTGAGAAGGCCCAGGGTACCTTCCCAAGCCCCTTCAAATTACCCCTTTGTAGCTGAGACACGTAAGCATGATGACCAAGCAGAGAAACAACTGAATAAAAAGGGTTTATTATTACAGTACTGGGCAGGGAAAAAACAAGACAAGACAAGGGACTTTAAAATACATAACAGTGTTGAAAGGCCAAAAGAAACACAAAGCTAACGCAGCTACCTAATACTTCTCCTGTTACTACTGAAGCCCTACAGCTCTCTTAAGCCAGGCTTCTCTCTGTACTCACTGTCCCCAGTGAGGGATCTTTCTCTCAGACCAGTCTCCTCAGCTTAGCTCTGTGAGAGGCAAAAGCTGCAGAGAGGAAAAGAACACAGTTTAACTGACCACCCAAGTATATAACCAATCTCCTCAGATAATTCCTCAACCCCCATTGGTTACCGCTGGCGCAAAGCCTTGTGGGGATTGTAGGCTGTCTGCTTCCCACTCCCAGGCAGGTCTCTTAGGCCTCACTAGGCCCAGTCCTGCACAGATCTCCAGAGGCCTACACAGATCATGACGCCATTGATAGACCTATTCTCCACAACTTGATTAACCTTTTAAAGCAATCAGTGCTTGTGGACATCACTGTGTCCTCTAGCAGTGAATTCCACAGTTTATTTACTCATTAAGTAAACATGTATTCCCCTTTGTCCAGAATCTATTGCCCATCAACTGCATTGGGTGCCCCTGAGTTCTAGTATTATAGGAGAAGGAGAAAAAGTGCTCTGTATTCACTTTCTCCAACCCATGCACACTTTTGCAAACCTCTATTGTGTGTCTCTCCTCCTTTTCCCCCATCATTTTTTCCCTGAACTGGAAAGTCCCAGACTCTTTAGCTGTTCCTCATATGAAAGGTGCTCTAACCACTTACTCCAGGCCTTGATGTATTTTCTTTAGCTTTAGGGATTTGTAATTTAATTATCCTATTTTCACATTATTACTGTCACAAATACTAAATTTTTCATACATCCTTGTGATTTTATTCAAGTTATGACAAAAGCATATAGAATTCAATAAGGGGGTAACCTAGCTGTCATTGTAACAAAAATCTCTAACATTAACCTAACTTCTCCCTAATTTCTCATAACTTCATTATTGCTTTAAAAAGCTCCATTTAAGTGAGTGGAGCAAGTATAGGAGGCAGCTGATTAAGTAGTGAATTCATCTACCACCAACCAAATGATGTAAAGTTAACATGTACACAAACAATGACACAAACCTCATATGCATGCATTTCCCCCTACAACAGTATATTCTGATGTGAAATGATAATAAGGACACTGAGGATTGTCAAGATACATGACTACAAAGTCATTGCTGAAAATACCAGATGCCATAATGAAATTTCTAGGCCCCTTGTTGACCTGGCACCTGGGATTTGTCGAGCCCTGTCTTAATCATCTTGGTTGCCCTATTCTGCAACTTTTTCTTGTTCTGTAATATCCTTTTTGAGATACAGTGATGGGAACTATACGTGGTATTCCAAATGAGGCGCTGTAGATCTGTGCAGGGGCATTATAATATTGGGTGGTTTATTTTCCATTCTTATCCTAATAACCCCAGCATAGATTTTGCCCTTTTCACCTTTGCTGCACACTGAGTTGCCAGTTGCTGCTACAACTCCATGACTTCTTTTCAGTCTTGGCCAGTGCGGTGGGTAGAGATGTGAAGGCCTGGCGTGGGGGGGGGGGCTGAAAAATTTGGGAGGAGGGAGTTGTTTTCTGAGGCCTTTTTTCTGTTTTTCCAGTGGAAAAATGGGAAATTTTGGGAAGTGCTGGGGAAAAAAACTCCTATGAAATATTTTCTGTTTTAGAGTGAGTAAAATGCTTTGAAAGACAAAGTGGGCATGTTGTAACATATATGGCTCTTAAATACAAGATGCACCTAGAAGGATACCAAATCTTCATAAGGGACACATACAGGGCATTGCTTTTCAACTGTTGCATGCCTTCTGTTGTCCTTTTGGCTTGACTTGTGGTTGATCTTTTCACCCTTTCCTTAAACCACTGTGAAACACATACCTATAGATTGAGTGGAAAGTAGCTTATTGTCCTAACTTATTGGAGGGGGAAAATATCAGAAGGTGAGGCAGAAACTGCACCAAAGCCTCAGAGGAAAACTCTGAAAGTTTCATTGAAAACTGAGTTCCTGCTAATCAGAAAGCAAAAATTAAAGTACAAGTGCTAAGATAGCATAGGATGCATTACCTTGCAACTTTCTCTCAAATATTATATTAGATGCATAGATTTCAACATTTCTGGAAATTTTACATCTTTGCTGGTGGGTGGGAGCATTGAAGCAGAGTGAGGGGAGCACATGGGTGAGTGAGTCAGAAGCAGTCTGGTTATGGTAAAAATGCTTAGATGTTTCTTTTTTGACAGATGGTCAGAGGATACAGCAACTAGAAAAAGAACTGTTGGAAGATCTGAAGTCTTTTAAGTACAAGCAAGTGATACATCCTAGCCTTCAGGAAGGTAGATATTGTGTTATGCATGTCTGCCTGTCAAGTAATGGATACTGTTATTTACATTGATAGAAAATGCCAGGACTTCCTGTAGGTTGTCATTTTTTGTGTTTTCAGACTATATACAGTACCTGCAAAAGAGTTCTTGTTAAGTCCAGTCTTTGAGTTGTGAAATAAAATAAAATGCTAACAAGATAATGTTTCCCTGATCTTCTGGGAGTGTTCTCCCTGTCTAGTCATCACTTATACCTAACCTTGAACTGTAGACAGAATCCTTTCAAAATTCTTTTGTAGAATTTTTGTCTTCTGTTTCTTCTATTGCCTGCTATTATTTCAAGGAATCAGTGGCCAGTTTTTTTTAAAAAAGATCTCCATTGAGCCCCCTCCCCTCCATTTTTGGACAATGAGAAGCATAGATATGTAGATCACTATCTTTCTGGACTTCCTTAACCTCACTTGCTCTGTCAGTCTTCAAGTGACTAGAGTAAGTTGGGGGGGGGGGACACTAGTTTGAAAGTCATTATTTCTAAATCTGCTGTCCTGCATCCTGTTCTCCTTGTTCAAAGATTATTTCTTGTGCATTAAAATAATTAACATATTAAAACATCTCCTGAAGTTTTCATACTTTACATATGGGTTGATTTTTAAAAAAACCTTTCCCTTATGTGTCATGTGATTTTATTTAAATTCCCAAATCATCAGTGCACTGACGAAGGGTTTTTTCCTCCCAATTATGGGCTGGGTATGCTATCCTTATTATTCAATGTGAAAAAGACTTACTGTCATCCCACTTCAGGAGGCCAGTGGGAGTTTGTGTCTCTTCCCCTGTGAGCAGCTCATGGACTCGCACTTCCAAAGATTAAACATTGTATGGAGATATTCATTTGGAATGTAATTCTGTAAGGAAACTAGGAGGGCCCTAGGCAAGCCAAGTCTCTCCCTCCTGATCTTTTTACAAATAAAAATCTTTTCCAGAAAAGAGAGGGTAGAAAAGCCCATTATATTGTGGAGGGAAGCTGGAGTTGGCAGCAGGTGTGTGTGTGAAATTTCACCTCCCTCACCAATTGTCCTTTCAATGTTTACTTCTTGCCCTTGACAGCTCCTGCCCCCCCTCCCCCCCCAGGGTGTTAAGTGGAAGAGAACCTGTCTCGGGATACTATGGAAGTCTCAAAGTCTGACTTTTGTGGGAAAGCAGAGTAGCATAGGGAATGCTTTGGGAAGAGACTGTATCTGTCTCAGGGCCCAGTTTCGGAGGGAAACCAACTAATGATTTGTAGTATTGGAGGAGTTGACATTTACAGTGTAAGTCTCCTGAGGCTGAAGGAAGGCTGATCTTTACCTCAAGAATAAAAACTTGGCTGATAACTCTTTTCTGCACCCAAAGGTTGACATCTGGAATGTTACATAGTAACTGCGTTTAGAAGGCCACTTGGGTTCCTTCTGTCAGTAGAAGGCTGGAGTAGAGACCACACTGGTCAGACTACAGCATGCTACCTCTTCTACACATTTGAAACCCTGGTTGTGATAGGAAACCACTGACCACTCTTAAAAAATGTAAGGGCACTTAAAGTGTTCTTAACTGTGTGGTTAGATACAGGCCGGTAATTTTTAGTTTAATCAGTGTGCACAAAATGTTCAGATGTCAAATGTTCCTAAGCCAGTAGCTTTGTCTTTACATAGTATAATGCTGGCCCAGAGAGAGGAATTTGCTTTTTTTACCTAGCTTCATATTAAAATTGTTTTCAAAATTGTATATAATTACTGGTGGCATTTTATTTTTATAGTGGGACTAAAGTTGAATTTTGTGGACCCGACAATGAGTATTGACTTGAAATACTTAGGTGTGCAGCTGCCACTAAGTTATTCAAATGACTGTCCTTTGTGGAAAACCCTGGGAACCAATTCCTGCTCTGCTGGTAAGACCAGATCTTTTCCTGCGGATGTAGTGGTGGGGCTTGAGTTGTAGAGTAAATCTCTTAAAAATGTTTGAAACAGTTGGATTTTGGTGAAGCAAGATCGACCATCTTGAACTTTTTAATTGAACTGTAGAGCACCATTTTTAATTTGTATTTATTGAAGTTTTAATGTAACTTGTGTTTTATTTCCGGCGTTCGCCGCTTGTTTTTGCCGCCCTGGGCCGTATGGGTAGGGCGGGATATAAATCCCAGAATAAAATAAATAAATAAATAAATAAATAAATTTCTTAGAGCTGGGCACAGTTCTGAATAGGCATGCTTAGGATTGCTCTGTAACCGTTTTTGGCTTTGAATGGGATCAGGCTATGACTAATAAGGGGATTTGTTTATTTAGTGAATATATGAGCTTGATCTGATATATTTTCCAAGCTGTGTTCTCAGAAGATTAGCAACAGTGTTTTTATGACTCATTAAAAATTGCTCTATGTGCAATGGCACTCTAAACTCTAAACAGTGTAACTTGAGGACTGCATGGTTAATGTTGCATATTTTCCATAGTATTCCTAATTGCTAAACTTAGTTGCCTTCCCCCTTCTCCCTCCCAGATGCTGGGCTTCCCTTTGTTTCTAGAACTGGGAAGACAAATGACTTCACAAAGATAAAGGGATGGCGAGGGAAGTTACATACTTCTTCAAAAAATGAAGGTAAGAAACATTTAAGATGTTCCTCTTCTGGATTGGAGGAGAAGAAAGAATTCTGCAGTAATCTTCACTCACTTAATTGTTAACAGAAAGTTGAGGGACATAACTGTGATCTTAGTATTGGATTATGCACTGAAGAATGGGAAGTGAGAACTTTGAGATACTTGGATATATTACAGGAATCTAGGCTGAGGTAATGGAAGAGGGATGGAAATACGTGCAAGGTGATGCCAGAATTCTTAACTGTTGGAAATCCCAGCTGATACTCCTAGCTCGTGAGGGTTAAGTAAAATAGCCCTGTAAATGTGTGTGAAGAACTTGAAGTGTGTGTGATGATATGCATAAATGCACAAACTACAGAGATGAGAGAGCTTTAAAAAACTAGGAACTGGCTATATTTTAATGAACATAAGAAGAGCCATGCTGAATCAGACGTGTGCTCCATCTAGTCCATCATCCTCTTTAATGCAATGGCCAAGTGGTTGCTGTGGAGGGCCAACAAACAGGACACAGAGGACAAGGCGTTTCCCTGTGTTAATGTTCAACGTTAGCATAGAATTGGTAACAATTTCTTAGAATTTTTAAAATACTGCTTTTTGTGCTTTCTGCTGGAGCTTTTTGGGTATGATTTCCAGTCACATCATTGAGATCCTATAGAGAATCCTTAGCCCTCATCCCTGCTAAACATAATTGGGTATCTAGTTACTTCATCTTTACTACTAAGATTACATTCTCTAAATCAGCAGCTACCACCACCTATTGAGAAAACCTAAGAAACGTTAATTTAAAATCCTAAAATAGAACTTTGCCAGCTTTCAGTTTCTCACCTATCTCCTTACTACTCAAATTATGCCTTTTAACATAGAGAGAAATAACATAAGATTGCAGCAGAAGTAAATAAATAAAATAAAAATGAGGCAGTATGAACAGCAGTGCAGAATCAGACCAGTGGCCCAAGGGACGTTTCTCCTGAATCTTGTTGCCTATCAACTTAACAGGTTTTAGTATTATGGGGGAGAGAGAAAACTTTTTTGCTCCACTTTCTTCACCCCTTGCATAATTTTATAAGCCTGTGTCATGTCCCTCCCCTCAGTAATCTTTTCTCTAAAATTAAAAGCCTCCTTCTTATCCTCTCTGTATAGGAAAGTTGCTCCAACTCCTTAATAACTTTGCTTTCATTAAAATTATCAGAACAATATACAGTATTCTAAATGCGTCTACACTTTGTACAAAGGCGCTATGATAGGGCTGTTTAGTTTTCAGTTACTTTTCTCATAATCTCTCATATAGAATTTGCCTTTTTTGTTCATCCCTAAAGCATTGTTAGTGCTTTTTTCTAAAAAAAAAACATGACAAAGACAACTGTTTTAGGTTAGAATTCTAAGACCCTTTCTACCTCTTGGGAAGAGAAGCACAGCCAAGTTCAGCACTGTCTGGCTCCATGACCAATTACTCAGTTCAAAAACCCCTAGCTGGTGAGCTTTAGAATGAAACTTGTAGCCCAACAGAACAGTGAAATAGATTCTTGAGCACAATATGATTGAAGAAAGGAAGCAGTTGATTTGGTGATATAGATGATTCCTTTGTGTTGGATAAATTCAACTTGTCATAGCCATTGCCCACTGGGGTGTTTTGATACTGTAGGGGGATAAGAAATGAAGCCCAGAAACAAGCAGTCTTTGTGTGACTGCTGTTTTATTTAAAATGGAGGTAACTCTAGCTAATCTAGAGGATATGTGTCTAGATATATTCCTAACTTCCCCACTCACCATGTGCAGAAAGAAGCAGAAGTCCAAATCAGGAAATCTTGTAGTTTTATTAAATGTGGAATCTCTTTAAATTGAATGTCCTTTATTGAAACCTCTAGGTATGTTTAAGTTCCCAAGATCAGAGGATAGTGTACCATTCATTAAATGCTATTTCTGTAGTAAGCAGAGCAGAAAATAAAATGCATAAGTCCAACTGATCTCACTGTGTGGAAGGGGTATGAGGAGTAAAGTTCGAAGGGACCTGTAGTCTTTAGTGCGGGCGGCTATAAAGCCTGCAATTCCAGAATGTGATTCTCTGTCTTTGCAGTTTTATTCTCGAAGAAAGATCTTGAATGCCTGTATCAGATAGTAATGTGATCATGTAGTTAAGACATTTGACCCACATGCTGAATGATCATATAGTGTATTCATTCAATTAACCAGGATCATTATGCTACTACTAAGTTGACTGTGTTCTGCTAACTAGGTAGCTTTTTGCTCATGCATGGCACCCCCCTTAGCAAAATAGAATTGTAGAGTCTACTTTATTTATATTTATTTTGTATTTTTGCTTTTTGTGTGTGCGTGTGCCTGTGCCTGGAAGTCCTGGTGACCTCTGACAAGGGGCATGGAGGACTTTTAGAGAAGTGGCTTGATAGCCTGCCTCTGCCTCCAGACAGTGGTAGTCTTTGGAGGTTTCCCATCCACATACTTGCCAGGGTGGCCTGGCTTAGCTTCCGAGGCCTGATGAGATTGGGCTTGCCTGGGTTATCCAGGTCAGGGCGGATCTAGTTTATTTTGTAACACATGGTCTAAAATCAGTTAAATTCAGTTAAAATAAGTTTAATTAAGCCCTTTTTTTACAAATAGGAATAAGGGTCAAGTACTAATGCGTAATATAGAGGTTTAGAATCAAGAATATGAGGGTTTTCAATGAATAACTGTAATTTAGTTCAATTTTTGCATCATTCAATCCCTTTTTCCTCACACACTTTACAGGTGATGATAGTTCCTGCTGAGGGTTACCTGCTGAGGCTTATTTCACTGTTCCAACACTTTGTCTTGTGAACTGAACCACCAACCACAAGATACTGTTCTGTTTCTTTTGATACCGTGGTATTTTTAGCTGTCTAGACACTCTTAAGTTACCCAAAGTTACCACATTTATTGTTATACCAAAAGAGAAATCTAATCTTGGATTTATTTGCAGCCCTTGAAAGTTAGAAGCCTTTCATAATTGCCCTCTCAGAGTAAGTTTAGTTAGTATCTTTCCTGAGCTCTGTGATAGTGGGGAAATGTTTGATACTTAAGTGGCTATTGTGTAACAGTTCCTAAAGTTTTTATAGTTAAGAGTACATATTCTGAATGCTTCAGCAATATACAATAAACAGAATTTACCCAGCAGTTTCTCATAGTGATGTGGGCAGTATTCTTTATCTGAAGTTGATTTATGTGATTATTCAGGTAGCATTTTAGAAGGCTCCTTGAAGAATCGATCTGCCTTCTGCAGTGACAAGCTTGATGAATACTTGGAAAATGAAGGGAAGCTGATGGAAACGAACATGGGATTCTCTCCTAGCACATCCAGTGGTCCTGTGGTTTACCAGCTTCCAACTAAAAGCACCAGCTATGTACGGACACTAGATAGTGTTCTAAAAAAGCAATCCACCACTACTCCATCTGGCCGTTATACTTTCAAGCCTCTTTCTGTGCCTTCTGTCTCTGGAAAGAAAAGAAAGAAAATTAAGAGTAAAAAACAAGCACACTCTAGAGGCAAAGGAAAGCCATCTTTTGTAACAAAGCAGAAATGCAGCTTATCTGTTTCAGAAGACAAAGTCAGTAAATCTCAGCCAAGTAGTCACACAACTGAGGTAGATGCTCTCATAGCACTGAGCACAGATGAAGCAGTGCAAGGAAAACAAATTCCTGTGCGTCAGGCACAGCCGCAACATCAAAATAGTCGCCCACCAAGTTTATCTAAGACACAGTTGAAGTTGATGTTCTTGGAGGATTGTGCATTGTGGGATGGTAAGCCACGTACCTATATTACTGAAGAACGAGCAGACTTATCTCTCTCAACTCTACTTACAGCTCAGGTAAGCTGCTGAAATTGTTGTTTGCTTTCATCTTACTTTTTTAGACTTCAGAAATGTGGCAAAGAGAATTTGTAGCAAGGTTAATTGTCTTAATTTATATCTGAAATGTCTTGTTTTGTGCTGTAGATTTTCAGTTGAGGCAAGAAATTAACGGAAGTGCCAGTAAGTCTAGATAGTCTGTCTATTTTATGTCATATCAGTGTAGGTCAGGGGAGGGCAGACTTTATTTCATTTCTGTGAGCTACTTGCTTTGTCAAGAGTCCTGGGAACTACCAGTCAGAAACAGGTGGCCTGGTGGGGGAGGCAGTCAGAAAATGGCAGCCTGTACAAAAGTTACAATATTCTAGAGTAGGTCTGCAGTGCTTCAGTATGGAATTCTTTTCTCTGCTGGACTCTGCTGCAAATCAATTTCTGACTTTCCCTGCAGGGGTAAAATAGTACTGCTACCTATGTGTTTTCTCTGGAAGAGGCAAACAGCAGCTTCGATGCAGGGAGAACGAGTCAGTAGCAGTGTTCTTTCCCATCCAGAGCAACAGTGTATGTGTGCACGTGTGGTGGAAGAGGAGAGCAGTAGTTGGGAAGGGATGCTGTCATTTTATCTTCACAAAGCAGAGAGATGTTTTTAATTGCTTAGAGAGGGATTGGTCACGCCAAGTGACCTTCGTGCCTACCCACTGAGCTAGATTATGCAGTAGATTTACTTTGACCAGCAAAATGTGTTGTGATACATAATAATCATTGGCACATAACACTAGTTTGGAAACCAAATTTGGAAAAAAGGTCTTCCTTCTCTTATGCAGCCTGATCCGTAGAATTAGAATTATTTATATTGATACCTGGTATAGAGAAAGTGTTTAGAATGTTCTTCTATTGCATGTTCTAGGAACATACAAACAAAAAGTGCAACCCATTTATTATAGAATTTATTATCCCAAGATGTTGTGATGCTTCTACTTCAGATGATTTCACACAAGGCATTCGTGGAGGATAGGTCCATCAATGGCTATTAGGCATGATGGGTAAATGGAAACTTGATATAGTTTTCCAAAATAGTGTACAAGTTACAGCTGGCAACAACTGGAGAACATTTTGGCTTTTGTGCTTTATTGCACACCTCATGGGCATCTGGTTGACCATTGTAAGAAACGCAGTGCTGGAGTAGATGGACTATTGGTCTGATCCAGAATCCCTCAATGAAGTAATTCCTCATCACTGAAAGCAAACTAAATACTTAATTTCAGGACCCTGTATTATAGGTATTTCTTTTCACTTGATATGTGTATACAATTATTTTTCTGAATATTTGCAAATAACGCCTATATTCTTTCAGGCATCACTCAAAAACAAACCAATCCACAAAATCATCAAAAAGCAGGCGCCACCATGCAACAATGATTTCTGCCGACTTGGCTGTGTCTGTTCTAGCCTAGCTCTTGAGAAACGCCAGCCTACACACTGCCGAAAGCCAGATTGCATGTTTGGCTGCACGTGTTTAAAGAGAAGAGTGGTCCTAGTGAAAGGAGGTTCCAAGAACAAGAAGATCCTGGAGAAGTCTCTGCCTGGAAAGCGTTGGTTGTATCATGGGAAAGAACAAGAGCAATGGGAGGAGGAGACAGAAAAAGGAGAGGTGCAAGAGAAACTGAAAGATAAGAAAAGAAAAAAGAAGATGGAATATAGTAAGTAGTGGTCAGCAATTTCAAAGTCAGTCACTTCCTTTGTGCAGTGGGATTTCTCCTGGTACATATCTGTCCGCATGTGCCCTTCTAAGCCCAGGAAAGTTGATTCTTAGAGTCTTGAGGCCTGCTTTGATGAATTGCCATTGAGGCTGGAAGACTCCATGGAAAAAGAGAACAAAACCACCCATTCCTGCCTCTTCCACAAGTACTAGCCTTGCTTACTGTAGAAGCAGAAAGGTGATTTTACCTCCTGACCCATGGAGCTATTAGTCATCTTTCCTAGGGTTGGAAGGGGCTGCTGGCAAGAGAGGGATATAGAAAGGATCTTTCACTGTCAGCATCTTCTGACAAGTAGCAAGATCTGTCATAATAATTATCAATAATTATGACCATAAAATATCAGCATAATATGGACTACAGTTCATCTAAAGTTAGTTGTGACTAAATCTCACTGAAATGAGTGCAACAAATTAGTGGCAACTCTTCTATTGTTTTTACTGAGACTTTTAAGGTGCCATTCTGTGGATACTGTGGATTAACACTATTTAACATACTAGGACTTGCTTCCAGATTTTAAAAATTGTGCTGTTCAGTGGCCATGTGGGTTTGTTAAATGTAGTTTAGAAATACAGTCAAAGTACCATCTTTTTCTAACTGTATCAAATGACATTTTTTTTCTGATTGATGGCCATATAAGATATACTACAGATCATGCATCCATTTAAGACAGAGTGGTTTGAGCACTCAACTGCTATTAGGGAAACTCGGATTCAGATCTGTTTTTGTCATCACAATTATAGGATGACCTGGGACCAGTTATTCATTTGGCTTAACCTACATTGGAGAGTTTTTGTAAAGATAAAAATGGAGAACATTAATACCATGTATACCAACAAGGCTCCTTGGACATGACAAAATATGAGACGGTTTTAGATATCAAGTAGTAGTCTGTGGCTTCATTTGACAAGCTTAGGGCCAAGGCATGTAGCTCTGGGGAACTTAGCTGTTGAGAAGTCCTTTTATATTATCAGTTTAAGTGTTAGTGCAACAGATTATTGCTAGTGATGTTGTAATTTTGTCTTGTGCAGTTAACAGAGGCTGGAATTGTTCCTGCTGGTCCAGATCACTGGGTTACAGGATGAGAGCCCAAGGCCTAGAGCCTTAGTTTGTGTACCTCACTTAAACTCTGTTTTTTAAAGCAGCACCTGAAAAAGTGAAGGACATATTCAGCCAGATTATTTAGCTCGGGGTGTCAAACATACGGTTCGTGGGCCGAATCCAGCCTGAGAGCAACTGGCTGTGTGCTGTTTCCTGTTCCTTATATAACAGCTCCTTCTGGCCAGTCTCTCCTAGTTCCTGCTTCAGAGGAGAGAAAGAAAGCCTTCGATTGGCTTAGGGCTCCTCTTCCCTCCTCATCTGGGGAGGGTGGGGGAGGAAAAGAGCCAGAGAGTGAAGAAGAGATTGGATTTATACCCTGCCCTTCACTCAGAGTCTCAGAGTGGCTTACAAACTTCTTTCCCTTCCCCTCCCCACAACAAACACCCTGTGAGGTAGGTGGGGCTGAGAGAGCTCTTTCCAGAACTGTCCTTGAGAGAACAGCTCTGACAGAACTATGGCTTGCCCAAGGTCATCCAGCAGCTGCAAGTGGAGGTGTGGGGAATCAAACCCGGTTCTCCCAGATTAAAGTCCACGCACTTAACCACTACACCAAATTGGCTGGGGGAATGGCGTTACATTTTATGGCACACATGGCCTGCCCGACCAAGTGACATTTATGTCAGATCCAGCCCTTGTAAGAAATGAGTTCGACACCTCTGATTTAGCTGATTCCAGGTGCCCCTGTTCAGTTCTCTTGAACAAAAGGCCATCATAGGTAAACAACACTGAAGGGTAAGCCTGACTAATACCTAGTCTGTAAAGTCTCCTGAATTTATGAATTTACAGGCTGATGCTATTGTGTTGCTTTATGATGTAGAGCAGTTTAAGGAGGTGCTTTCAATTATGCAGCATACAATTTCAGAGATTAATGCAGTATACAACCCAAATGGATATTCTGGCTCAAATTCTTGGTTTAACAGTGAATGTTCTGTTCTCAAGAAGCAAGTACATGGCATGTATCGCTACTATAGGAAAAATAATCTCAGAGTTCTGCCATCTCAATACTTATGACTGAACGAGTATAGGAAGTTATTAATGAAGTAGTCCCATCTCTTTGCAAATGCATCACTATCTAACAATTCTAAATTATTTTGGCCTATAATGACCAGTGCCGTAATACAAATCCCTTGTATGTCTGTATTCAGATTTCTATATGGGAAAAACACTACCAACATACATTTAATAATTATAGAAATTTCGAGACCAGGGCTGTTATGCCATCATTGGAAATTGCCCCAGAATGACCTCCAGTTAATATTGGAGAAGTTGAAGAACTTACAGCTCACGAAATAAGAGAAGGCTGGTCCAGATGGTATTCTCCCTGAGCTGATTAAATCCAATATAAAATGCTGTCTTGCTGCTATCATCCTTATTTATGAGTATGCCTAGTATATGAATTAAAGCAATAATTATCCCAGTTGACAAAAAAGGAGACAAAAGGGATTCTGCCCTGTAATTGGAAAGATGGGCACCAGCTCTCTTTGCGAGAAGCTGACAGTCTGGCTAGGTAACACCAGTATTCTTCATAAAGAGCAACTGGTTTTAACCCAGGTCACTTTACTCTAGAATGCTCTGTGGTGTTAGCACATTCAGTAAAGAAATATAGGCAATAAGTAGGAGGGGAAATGGTTTGCAGCTATGTCAGGCCCAGTCCTGACCTATTCCTTTTTATAGGAGAAAATGCCCCAGTTCTGATGGAAACAAATGGCAAAGAGAAAGGGGTTTTATAGCTTACCGGAAGGGGCAAAATCTCCCTCAGTGGAGGGAGGTGTCCTTGTATTGGTTGTGCAGGGCATATGCAGGATTATTATTTTTTTTGCAAAGGAGGCATTCGGCTCTCCCAGTCTGTGCCCTACCTGCTCAGTGGATGGACAAGCTTCCACAGCTCTCTTGCTTTGCTTAGGAAAAATGCTTAAACATCTTAAATCAGCAGCAGCTGTCTCCTCCACCGCCTGTTCACTAATGGTGACAGCAGGGATGAAGAAGATGATGTCTCAAACAGAACACTGCATGGCAGTGGCTGGTGCTGAGCCACTGTGAGAGGACAACTTGGCTGTTTCATCCTCTGAGGACAGGCTCCTGCAGTGACAGCCACCAGTGCTTCCTCTTCAGCTGCCACTTCCCTGCTGAAGCACCGACATGGACAGGAAGTGGACAGCTGGACCTCTCACGCTCTGAAGCACTGGTGGCCGAGGGGCCTGTTGTCAGAGCTGCCGACACCTCATCTGAGCTGGCACCTCACATCGTGTCACACCCTGTCAGTGATACAAAACTAGGAAGACCCAGCAAGCACCATGCTGAATGGACACTCCCCTCCCAGCCATGTTCCTCAGCCATAGGAATGGATTCCAAAGGCAACAAGCGGGGGTGCACAGGAACTCAATTGCTGTTGGAGGGGGCTCTTCCTTTCCCTCTCCTCCAGTCATCCTTGATGGGGCTTCAGTCAGCCCAGATGTTTGTGCCTATATTACTCAAAGTGTTTAAGGACATTCCACAGGATCTGAAGGAAATGAAGTGTAAAAAAAGTTGCCATAGACAGAGGGACGAGGATTTGTCCTCTCTCCTCTGTCTTCTCCTTCAGTGGGGGAAGTCATCTGAACTGGTTAGGTTACACCTCTTCTCGCTCCAGGCAGGGCTGTGCAAATTTTGTGTGTCTCTCCCGGTACAGAGTGAGGCTTTCCTTCCAGTTTGGATAGCCCTGCCACTCCAGCAGGTCGCTAGCTCCTAGCTCCATTCTGAAGGCTGACTTACAGCAAGGTCTTACCTTTTCTGTTCAGTACAAAGTAACAGAAGTCCTAAACATGGATGAAGAGCAAATCAAAAAGATCCCGGACTCTGGATCTACAAAAAAGAAAGATTGCATCAAGGACAAACCTTACGTTATTAGTACTAGAAGGTCATGACCTACACATGGGCTGGCATGCCTATGGGTGGTACAAAAAAGACAAAATACAAAAAAGCTTTAATAAACACATAATTAGAGAAGCATTAATAAAAACTTGGAGAAATATAAAGGAGATGTTTTATGATAAAATACCAATGTGGGTATCCCCATTAGAAGCATTCGTATTACCAAATCTAATGATGGAAAGTAAAAAGGTCAGCTATGAAATATTATTAACGCAAAATAACGAACTGAAACCCTTTGAAACGTTACAAACACTGAACATTAATCTCACAAGTTGGGAAAAAATACAACTGAAATCAATATTTGCAAAGGATAAAACAAGAAGCTTTATAAAAACAAAATCAGAACTGGATAAAATATGGCTGTCATCAGCAGACAAAATGATACAGAAGTTATATAACTTCTTATTAAGTAAAGAGATGCAAGAGGAAATAATAAAACCATGTATGAAAGCCTGGATGAAAGTCTTGGGGCATAATATAAGTTTAGACAAATGGTTAAAAATGTGGAAATCAACAAAATTATTAAGAGCCACAGCATATAAAGAAAATATCTTTAAAATGTGCTATAGGTGGCATTGGACTCCTGAAAAGATCGCTAAGTGCTATAAAAGCAGTTCAGGGAATTGTTGGAGATGTAAAAAAAACATTGGGTCATATTATCACATATGGTGGAGATGTGAAAAGATAAATAAATTTTGGAAAACTATAAAACAAATAATATTAGAAATAACTGAAATAGATCTAAAGTTAGAACCAGAAGTATATCTACTCAATATGATACCAGATGGGATAAATTATAACGATTCATGTTTGATACTATGTCTAGAATACTTATAGCGAAATGTTGGAAATCAGAATACCAAACAGAGAAGAATTAACTATGAAAATTTTGGAAATAAAAGAAATGGATAAGATAAATATGATACTAGCAGGAAAAGAAGAAAAAATATTCAAAAAAAGATGGCAAAAATTAGATAGATGGATAAAGCAAAATATATAAGGAAAACTGCAAAAAAATGTGTTGTAAAGATTGTATATTTTGTTTACTTTTTTGTAATGGAAAACGATAAATTATTTTTTTTAAAAAGGACAAACCTTACCAGCTGACACTTTGGTCATGGGGGGAGGATTTCCTCAGGTGGAAGAAGCAGCGAAAGCTGTGATCATCAGGGCAGGAAGGTCGAAGGTTTTGGAGCCTTCCTCTGGCCCCCTACTACTGACTGCACTCAACTCTTTCCTGGGGCTCAGTCAAGCCTCTTCAGAGCACACTGCCTTGTCAATTTCAGATCCTCGCTATGCAGGCTCAGAGGCTGCCGAATCTTGCAGTGGGTTGCTTGAAGATGTTGCTGGTGAGCCCTCCCCCTCCCAGATCACCCGGTCGAACAGCCAGGTGGGAGCAGAATTTAAGTCAGCATTTTTTTCTCTCTGGGAACCCTGTCATGCTGCAGGCCTCTCCAGCTTTCCCTAGCTCCCTGATGACTATGGGAACCTCCAGCATGGTGTTTTCCCTGCCCTAATTTGCTGAGTAGGAATTGTAGCGGGATGCTATATCAGTTGGGAAACTGTATAAGGGTTTTTTTCCTCATCTATTCTGCGGCTTTTCAGTATCTCCAGTATAGGACTTTGGTGGTAATGGTGAGTTGATTTTCATTGATGATTGTTAGGTTAGCGGTGGATCAGTTTTCATTCAGAAGCTTGGTGAGACATGAGCTGGGGGAGAGTGTGTCCTTAGGATAGTGGAATCCATGGGGGGGGGGGAATGCATATGCCTTGCCCATGAAGCAAGGCGGAGGCGCAGCCCATACAAGGTTACCTTCCAGTCCACTGATGAGAAGAAACCCTCACAGTAAGTCCAGTGTTTCAGTCTCCCTCCTTTCATTTTTTATAGATCGAATTTAGGGGTGTGTGTGTGTAATTTCCACCTGTTAACACTGGCTACCATGAAAGTATGGCCTGTAAATATTAGCTTGGTTCCCATTACAACTCCAAGCCACCCAAGTCCAACCATATAACTAAGTGGTCAGGGAAACCCTTTTTGTAATAATGTGAAATGCTGTCCAGATCATGAAAATGATAGTGGCCATGAGAGTATAGCTGTGTTGTGAGTCATGTATTTTCTCCTTATTTGGGTGACCTGTTAATCAGATACCTGTTGGAGGCAAGGGAACTCAGGGACTTGAACCTTGGTCTATCCTAGCTTAAGCACTATGGCTTCATAAGAGAGGCAAAGGCTCTCTTCATCAAAATGCAGCACTTCCAGCGTCTGGGAGAACAGCTTCAAATAGACTCTTTCTGTCTTCCGACAGACGACACAAGATGTGTCCATCACGCAAGAAATTGTAGTACTACAGTTATTCAAATCTGCATCTGACCCACTTGCAGGATGTCATGAACTGTATCAGCTCAGTTTCCTGGGCAAAATCATGTCACTCCAGGCTATGACAGTGGCTACTACTATTCGGTCAACAGTGAGTTTCTTTTAGGCAGCTGATCCAGCTGAACATATCCCCAGACATCAGATGTGCTCTCCTGTGGTGCCTGAATCCCATTTACTGGTTCAGGAAATGCTACTGGCAGACCCCTTTTGTAAGCATCTTCTTTTCTACCTTTTTGTCCTTTCTTTTGCTGCCCAAGACTTAACACCTTTCCGAATACTGATTAGCAAGAACTGATACAACTTTCTCAGTTCTTATAATCTTATTTATTTGAAAAATTTCTGAGCTGCCTTTCCAGGGAACCTGCCTGAGATGACTTACAATATAAAACCAGACAATAATATCATCATACAAGTTATTAAAACACAGCATTCAGGAATACAGCTGGAGCATAAAACCACCCAAAACATGGAGCAGCTTAAAAGGACTCTTAAATATTTCTTAGGCTGACTATAAAACAGTGTCTTTCAAAATCAAAATGCTTTATAGAAACATTGAGTAAATAGAAAAGTTTGGCCTGGTACCTAAAAGAAAGTAGTGTAGATGCTAGACAAGCCTTGAGTAGAAGGGCATCCTGCATGCAGAGTGCCACCACTGAAAAAGCCCTGTCTCTGGTTGTCACCCATCTCAGTTCTGAAGGTGGTGGCTCACAGAGCAGGCTTGTGAGGAGGATCTTAGCTGGCAGACATTACAATATGGGACGGGACTATCCTTCAGGTACCCTGGTCCCAAGCCATTTAGGGCCTTAAAAATAACATTTTTAATAGCTTATGGTTTATAGGGCAGTTTTTAATTCCCTGCTGTCTTGAGCAGGACTCTGAAGAGGTGGTATAGAAATATTTATAACAATTACTTTGGATTGTGCCTGAAAACAGATGGGTAGCCTATGCAGATCTTTCAGCACTGGGGTTATATGATTCCTGTATCCCACCCCTGACAGTAGCTTGGCTGCTGCATTTTCAATCAACTAAAGTTTCTGAACCATTTTTGGAGGCAGCCCCATGTAGAGTGCATTACAGTAATCTAACTTGGATATGCCCAATCTTGGAAGCTAAGCAGGGTCAGCCCTGGTTAGTGTTTGGGTGGGTGACAACCAAGGAAGTCCAGGATCGCTACACAGAGACAGGTAATGGCAAACCACCTCCGAATATCTCGTGCCTTGAAAATCCTACAGGGTCACTGTAAATCAGTTGCGATTTGATGGGACTTTCCACCAACAACAACTTGAATGTAATCACAGCATGGATCACTGTGGTCAGATTGTGCTTTTCAAGGAAGTGCTGTAAACTAGCATATCAGCCAAAACTGATGTAAAGTGCTGTGTGCCATGGGGGAGATCTGAGCCTCCAGACACAGGCCAGGATCTCCAGTAGCATCCCTAAGCGACGAACCTGCTTCTTCAGGGGAGATGGAACTCCCTCCAGATCAGGCTGACCCCTAAATCCTTAAGCATTGACCCAACAGCATCTCAGTCTTGTCTGGATTGAGCTTCAGTACATCCAACCCATTGCCTTCTCCAAGTTGTTGTTGTTCAGTCGCACAGTCGAGTCCGACTCTTTGCGACCCCATGGACCAGATCCCGCCAGGCCTTCCTGTCTTCCGCCATCCGTTCTACCTGTCCAGGATTTATTTATAGTAAATCTTTCTGTAATATGTATTATAGCAGAGATCATTCATGGGAAAATAACCCTCTAATAAACTTCTGTACCTTTGTTTTAGCAATCTGTGACACAGAGCCAGAAAAACCTGTGAAGAACTTTCCATTGTGGGTAAAAGTAGATGGAGAGGTGGATCCAGAACCAGTTTACATTCCAACACCATCAACTATCGAATCCGCAAAACTGGCAGTACCTCCTACCATAGATGTTTTATCTGACAAGCCTGTGCTCAGCGGAGATAAGCCTGCACCTAGCATTGTCAAGCCAAGAATATATACACCCAGACCTAATCCAGTGGTAAGGAAACAAATTATTTTTAAAGATTAATCCAACAGTTTTGTATCTCTTTGTCTTAAAAGCACCCTGAATACAAGTTGGTGGAGATAAGAAGAAACTCCATGTAGGCATTTTTCTTGTAATTTTAAGACTGGTATGGTAGCCACATGCCTTTTGGGAAGCATTTCTTTATGAAGAGGTCTTGAGGCAATATAGAAATCTATATTGGAGTGGGAAATTTTAGAACATAAAAGAAGATAAGGAGCAGATATAATAGAAATGCCTTATTCCTTTATGAGGAGTGGTCTGTGACAGGTCAATGCTGAATAAAAAGAACTGGGGTTAGCTAGCAAATATATTGAACAATGTTTTTAGGGTGTTTGAAGTAGCTAGTGTTATTTGAATAATTCTTGGGAGAAGAGGGAAGGTTTAAGGTAGGAACAGAAAAGTGTCATAATCACAGGAGGGAATATAGTATAGTGGTTGCAGTGTTCAACTAGAACTGGGGAGGCTCTCATTCTTCAGCTCTCAGCCTAACTTGAAGGTATGGTGAAGGAAGGGAAAACTGTTCACATTACCCTGAGCCCCTCATGGGCAGCATAAAAGGCACGAATCATGAGTAACTAGTTGGTTGAAGGTTGAATTTTAACAATATCTTAAAAGGTACTCAAAGCAAACTTTAGCAACAAATTCAGTAAGAGTAACAAAGAAATTTTATTGTCTACTTATATTATTTGTAGTCTGCCTTTTTCACTTGAATTCGAGGTGGATTACACATAGTGAGTCAATATAATCGATAGGATAGGACATTCAGCAAACAGTACAATAAGAAGTAACTTTAGGAATCAGTTAGTGCAGTGTAGCTTTGTTGCATGTGTAGAAAAGCACTCTTGAATTATTTAGTTTTGCATAGTTTGCAGAAAGCCAGGAGAGTGGAAGCCTTCCTATCGCCCTCAGACAAACAGCAAATTGGATAGTGGGTGTGCCTAAGCATCTTTTAAAGCGACAGGCACAGATCTGGCAGTCAGTAATGCATTAATGATTTGTGTTGTCCTTGGTGATGATTTGTATAATCCTCTGCTGATTGTGAAGCACTGGCTTATTCTTCCTACCCTTGGGGAAAGTGAAAGGGTGTTCACCCTTTCCAAGCTGCTAGCTTTAGTTTCTGTTTGCCTTCCCAGGGGTCCCACAAGGTCTCAGAACAGAGAGGTAAGGGGATTGCTTCACCTTTGTTCTCACTCCTCTCTGCAGGCACCTCCTCTGCAACATGGAGGCATCCTTTGGCTTGTGTTTCCAGTCTCCTTTTAAACCCATGCAGGCTCCAGTTGTGGTCCCAGCCTCTCATGAGGTAAAGGGACCTCCTGAAGAGTTATTACTGCCAACTGCCTGCCTTGTTGCTAGGCAGCAGGCAAGGCCAGAGGGGTACAAGGGACTGGTACATCTGTCTATATCAAGGTCCAGTACAATCGGAAGACTCCAAATTTGATGAGTAAATTAAATAGTTTTTATTAAAATATTTCCCTAATTACAAGCACACTAAACACTCAAAAAAGAGCAAGCAATATGGAACTAAGAAAACAGAGGTGATTGATAGTGAATAGAGGGGTCAGTTACAGGGTGATACAATTTGTCTAGATGTGTAGGGGTCCATGGAGATGAGATTATGGCCCAAACCAAAGTTCAGGGGTGAACTGCCACTTGGCATCAGGGGCAGACACACAAAATCTGAGGCCATGTGCTCTGATGGATATAGACATTGGAGAACAATGCTGACCAATGGGAGATCTTGAGGGGCTTGCCCCAGGTGAAGATTACCTGGGCCAATCAGGTGTCCCAGGGGGTGCAGTTGTCAAGAGGGGCGCATCCTAGAAGTGACCAGTGAGGTCCCAGAGGAGCAGAACAATAGCTATGATGGGCCTAGCCAGGTGCTAGATGGTTGGCCTGGGAGTGTCCATTGTGGAACAATATGGTAGTCTGGTGTTTCTCTGGTGCCAGACAGAAGAGTTTCTTAATATGCAGCAGGATGAACTTGAATTGGTGACCATTCACTGTTTGTGGAAAATTAATGTTTACCTTTGATAGGTCTGGCATAGGTATAAGAATGCAGGTATTTTAGACAAATAGATGGAGACAGGAATGAGAGGATTATTCCATAGGTATTTCCTGACATATAGGTGAACAGAAGGTGGGGCTGGAAACATGTCACATACTTCATTCATGACAGTAGCACAGACCAGAGGCTCTTTGTCTCTGCCTGTCTGTACATTTGACAGACAAAAGACTAGCCATTTGGTCAGTAGGAGATGCCTGAGGCAAGGACAGAGATTTGCCCATTCTTAGTACTTTTGGACTGAGCTGACAGGACAGAAGGCGGGGGTGGTGGTGGTTGCTTGCATGGAGGATGTTTTGGCAGTGCCTGAGTTTTCTCAGCCAAGATTTGGTTCTCCTAGCCTCCCAGTAAAAGCCACTGTTTAAGCCAAGCCTGGCTTTATGAGGGTGTTTTAAGAAAAATGATGTGTCCCCACACTCCCCCTCTGGTTCGTGTGTCCCCTGAGTGTTGCCTCCTCACCAAAGGCGAAAGGTGCAAGTTGGAAACCACTACACGCTGGCAGAGACACTCAAGCAAGGGTCTTTTCTTCCAATAAAACTTATTTTTATTAAAAGATCAACATTCAACGTTTACCTGGCAAGGTGACCAGCAAGACGCTATGCCAGTTTGCCAACACAGTAGAATCCTATTTCCTAAATATTGATAGTAAATACACAGAAAAATAATCATGCAAGCAAAGTTCTATCCCACCCAAAGCATGCAGAGATGAAAGGCCCTTTCAGGCTGACTCCAAAAGGCTTGTCAGAGGGCAAAGGCCTCTCTTGTTCCTTCAAGAGCCAGCGAAAGTCTGTTGGATTTGACCTGTATTTATACCAAAATGATCAAAGAGGTCCCTCAATAATTACAGTTGTAAATTAACATTTAGAAGTTGAAATTGTCTTGCAGGAAATGTGCTTTCTTGGTCTCACACAACAAAAATTTATACTCTTATTTACTGGATCAATATAGTGTTATTGTTTTTCTGGTGTTCCCACCATTGGGATAAACTGTTCTTTGAAGTTATCAGAGAGAGAACTTTGAAGTTACCTCTGAGGTGGAAATGGGGTCTGTGTGAATCTCTGAATCTCAGGAATTAGTTTGCATTTTGGATTGAAGTATGTCATTCTTCAAATGGCCCTCCAGCTGCATTTTATTTGCCTAGGAAATTGTGAGTTTCACACCTAGGGAAACATTCATTGATTCAAATCCTGGGATTGGAATGTTGTGAACTTTTGCCGGGGTGACTGATAAAGAGATTTGTCTAGAACAAAGGACTTGAAACAGACCAGGCCTCCTTGCTGTTTTGCTAGCAAAAAAACCAGAGACAGATATATGAATTTTAGAAGCTATTGGGGTCATTTTAAAACCCAAACTTTCTATATTTCTAAAATTTCTCGTCACAATCCTCCATTTTTGGGTTTAAAAGGAACCCAAACAGAATTGGCTACAGGAAGCTATTAGGCCCACCCATCTATTTTACGTTGTTGTGGCGATATAGCTGCTGTGGAGTTAGAGACTATTTTGATTCCGGAAGAAAATACAGAAGGAATACATTTGCTGCACAGGAAATAGCAAGAAAACACACCAAGATTACAAAACCACCTAGCACCAAAAAGTGTAACAAGGTTTTGACCCAACCACTTAGGTTTGGGAGCCAGTCCCATAAATCCAGGGTAGCTTCCTGGGCTACCTGATGAAATACTTGTACTGCATTCTTTAAATCTTGTAAATATGGTTTCAGGGGTAGGTGCTCCTGGGAGGCTACCAGTGGTTAAGCTGCTGGTCGCGAGCCAGATTAATGGCTCAAGGCCGGGGTTGGTGACTTGCCCACATATTAGACAAGGAGGACACCTGCCTTGTCTGTTCCGCTACTTAGGAAATGCTCCCTTGCCATTTTTGTGGTTTATAAACTGTATATAGTTAATAAAGTGGCCTTTGTTTGATCCAAACTGTTGTCCGTCTCGTTACTCTGACTGCGGGGGCAAAACATCTACTGAGATCACCGTGAGAAGAAACTTGGCTATGGTGAGGTGGAGATAAGGAGGTGGGCTGTCTGCAGAGCACATCCTGTTATTTGAGTTCACAGTATGCTTGTAGCTTTCGATATACATGGCAGGGGGGAGGGAAAAGGGGGAAATCTAATAAAACACTGCTGAGCCAGTCCGGGTCAGACAGATTCTGCAGATCTGTGTCTCGTGTTGTTTTTGAACCCTTCAAGCCTACAACCATATTTCATGTAATGGTAGGTGATGGCAATAGTTATGCCACCTTAGTAGGAGGCTCCAGAAGGGGGCTACGGCTCCAGGACTATCCAAGCCTAGCAGGATCCTCCCCGGCCCAGATGGTCAGAGATGACAAAAGTTGTTTTAAAACCCTCAAACTCACTCCAAGGATGTCCAATGACAAACAGGGGCACCCAAGAATGTCCAGGGGAGCAGGGACTCAGATGAAACAGGCCAGGTCCACCCTTTTCCTCAGTCCTTCCTCATCGCTCCTCCACCAGGCCACACAATCTGTGGAGCAGCTGGTTGGCAGCAAAGATGAAGCCAACCACAGGACCGACTCACCCAAGTCCAGTCTGGAAACATCAGATGCCCAGGACTTCTCAAAGTCAGAGCCCAACCAGGACCAGCCCAGGTCTGCTCAAGGCTGCCCACCAGTTGCCCCAACCAGGGTTCCAGCATCAGCATCCTCACGGCAAGCACTGTGGCAAAACCAGAAAATGCCACTGTGGCAAAAGCAGGAAATGCCACTAAAACAGACCATTGATACATCTAACTCAGCATTGTTTTTATGGATTAGCAGCAGCTTTTAGAGAGAGAAAGGTATTCCCAGCGTCTTCTAGCTGGACTTCGTAGGAACAGATATTAAGCTCCACCACAAGCCACAGCCCCTCCTATCATCAGCTCACAAAAACTGATGACTCTGATCTGAGTTCTAATACCCAGATCTATCCTGGTGGGAGACAAAGACTGCCACCCATCCTATTAAAGCTGGGAATGAATATGCATAAACAAGTATAGGGTTGGTTCCCAATAAGTAGCTTGGTACTGCATTGTAAAAGTAGGTCAGAGATTTGTTTTTCCTTTTATTCATAGATTTCATCTCACTTTAATCTCTACTTTTTCAGCATCATGGCACCTCATTGTAAAAGAAATTTACAGCACTTAGCTTTCTATTAGTTGTTTATGGCATTCTGGATATAGAAATGTAAACGTGCTGCAGATATCTTAGTGTAGCAAATCCTAAATAATGAGATTTGGGACACTTAAATCATTGTATAATGTTCTCTGCCATTTTGATTAATACTGTGAATTCTAAAATACCTCTAGGCTATTAAAATGAATGCAGGTCATTATTCAGATGAGTGGAATAAAGTTTTATAAAATCCATTTATATACAGTTTAGAATGCCTTAATTAGTTTTTTACATCAACATTAAAAATGTTAGTATTTTGATTACTTTGTGGATTTCTTGATGAGTTTGCAGTGGATTGCACTGAATGTGTGAACATTTAAAACTTTTCCTCCATAAAATAACTACATGCCAAAGGAAGCCTAAAATTTAAACCCATAATATAAAGAACAAGAGGCTTAGACTGGTTTCTACTACAAATATTGCCTTTGAGGCCTCGTTGCAAAGTAATGCAGTTACTGACTGATAAACTGCTTATTGAGAGGTTTCTTTGGAAATGCCACAAATGCCTACTGAAAATCATGCACTGCAGATTTTGAGGAAATGATATTAACATTTCCTGTGCCATCATTTATGGTGATCTTGTCCTTAAAAACTCATAAACACTTTATTTGGTAATTCAGTTTATGCCTGACTGTGTCACTTGGATTGATGCTTGACAGCAACGATGCCATAAATTATGCATGTCAATTTAGCAAATGCCATTAAACCAAGCAGGTCAGGGTAATTTCAGTAATTATACATATAAATAGTATTATTAGCTCTGTCAACGTCTGTACCTGTGTTATATGTCAACATAGCCCATCAACTATGTGGGTGAAAGATTCTGGGTTTTGCACAACATTGATTGACTGGACTGGTTCCAATTTTAATCTGTTGGGAAACTGATGGAGGTATTTATTCCATTTGGCTGGTGACTATAATCATGCATTACTGCACAAATTTAGAACACTGTCTCATGTTTTGCTTTGCTTGATTTAATTTTAGAGGCTATGAATGAAGGAATAATTGCTTCTACAAAAATATGGGAAGAAGCCAACACTGTTTTCAGTGTTATATTATGATGGTACAACTATGTTCTGAGGGCCTTTCAAGTTCTGTGTACTGGTGTTTAAAATATATAATATCCTTTAGTGTTTAGCTAAGTGATTCATTGTTATTCATAACTTTTAAACAATTAAATACAAATTACTTTAGTTCAAAGTGACAGTTTGACTGTTCAGTTTTCATTCTTATTTGTGGTAGCTAAGTCTGTTAAATGTAAGCAAATCAAACACAAGCAACCTGAAGGAAATCAACTGGTCTGGCTTGAAAAGGCCATCACATAGCTGGGAATTTGGAGGTGAACAATACAGGCCATGTTTCCACATATATGTATTTCTGCCTGCTCCACCCCACTCCCATTTCTACCTGTTTGCTGTGTGTCATGTGAAAGCCCTTCTACTGGAAGCCCTTCTGCTGTCTGGAAGGCTAGACTGGGCCCTCTTCCCAGATACCCAGGACTGTGGCAAGAGAGCTGAGGATGCCTTACAGGCTGGTGAGTCAGAGGTTGCAGCTGAAGCCAGACACTAATTTGATAAGCTGTGGCGAATGAGGTTCCAGAGGGCAGGTGGCAAGCCTCAAATATCTAAATAAGTTGTGCACATCACAGTGCTAACTGAAAAGTATCCACACGAACACAATATACAGAAACCTCAGGAACAGTCTGTATCTTTTAAGTCAGAACACGTGAGCAATTTTTATCAACAAAATGCTGTTCAAATTGGTTAGTGTTCTACTCACATTGGCAGTTTCTTCCTTTGAGACAAAATAGAATACGCCTCTTACCATGTTGTATTGATGCACTGTACTGAAAAAATTGTTACTACAGAAAAGTTCAGCACATTTCGCCCCCACTGCCTCTATAACAGTCATTTCTGCTTCTTCATTCTCCTGGGTCTGCAGAGAACAAGGGAGCCCGTGTGTGGAAGAGAGTTTTTAGGAGCAGTAACTTATGTGAGCTCCACCCCTATTCCAAAATCCTACCAAATCATCTATATGACTGCCAGCCATATTAGTGAGAAAATTCCCCAAAGGTGTCAAGAAACCATCTGAATCTCTTTTCCACTAGGAAAGATTATTCTATTACCTTTCCCACTCCCGGAAGGCACTTTGAATCCCTTTTAGTCTTAACCATATCAGCTAGTGATAGATGATGATTTGGGACTGAAGAAACATGTTAGGTCTTCCTGTCTTCCGCAGAACATCCAACTGTATTTGTAGGGCCCAGTGCTAAATCTCCTTCAGATGGTACAGCCTCAGCCTGGATAGTGAAGTCCCCCAGAACCATAAAGTTGGGAAATTCCAACATTAAGACTTGCTTAGGAAAGGAGATTTGTTAGGCAATGGGATGGGTTGTGCACCATCAGAATCTCTGGTCTGTTTTATTAATCCCACAGTAGGACCAAGCACTCAGAATTCAGTGACTGTTCGATGGGGGGTACCATGCAAGGGAGAGAGACTCTTAATTTATTTAAAATGTTTGCATCCAGTGGGACTTAAAGGTTCCTTGCATTAAATTTGAAAACAAATATGGTATCGCATAGGAATATAAAATACAGGAAGCAAGCCACAACCTTCACTCATTGGCTTATAAAGGCATAGGATACAAAAAGAAAGATATTGCTGTGTATGTAACTTCTTATAAAGGCATAGAACATCCAAAACCTGTGCAAAGTCAGGGCCTTCCTTACATCCTTGGAAAGCCAGTTCCATAGCACAGGTGCATTCATAAGGAAAGTGCAACAACAGTTCTTACTAACCTATGTTGTGGAACTAACCATCCATGGTCTAATGAATGGAGCTGTTGGAAAGGTCTAGGACTCAGCCACCTTCTCCCACATGGGCAGGTTGAGATCATCCTCCAGAGGTGTCTATCAGAGACAGGTCTTTTCCTTTGCACCCTTCTCTCAAGAGATGTTCACTTGATATAAACTGTTGTCTTTAGAAGCTGAGCAAAGTTTGTCTAACTACCAAAACCTATTGCTTTTATTTATTTTAGGTATTATTGCTAGATTCATTGCTGCTTTTTAATATAGTTTTATTAGTTTTGCTTTTAAGTATTGTTAACCACTTTGAAAGCCCCATTAGAGCAGAAAGGTGGCATGTTATTAAAACAGCAACAATTTGATCATTACTGAAAGAAGAATGATACACAATGAGGTTTTCCCATAGGTGGTTAGTTAATCTGAAACTTCTTTATTTTGTTTTATAGATTCGAGAGGAGGATAAGGACCCTGTGTACTTATATTTTGAAAGTATGATGACCTGTGCCCGTGTTCGAATATATGAACGCAAGATGCAGGAGAAAAAACAACAGAAGTGTCTTCAGAATTCTGAAAAACACATCGAAAAGGTGAGATTGTATTCTCTATTAATATATGCAGCTCTGGTAAGAACAACCTGAGTTGTAGAACACTGCCACTGCACAATTGCTGAACTGTCTAGCAGTTAAATAACTATTTACCTATTCTTAAGATACGAAATTTTGTGCCACAGTTTTATTTTTCATTCTTCCCAATTTGAATGCTAGAGTTTGTGTTGTTTGCTTTTAGATATGTATTATTCATGGAGATGTATTTTTTTTAAGTCTCAGGGTTATCTTTTTATATTTCTTGCTCTTTCTTTTTTCTTTCCCAGGAGCATTCTGAGCTTCAGCCCCTTAAAATGGAAGATGGTAAAGAGCCTGGAGGTAAGATTAAAATCTTGAATTCTCAAGTTATAAAACTGGGGTGTTCATACAGGATCCCTGAAAATTCTGGGCACTGGGAGTGTGCTATGGGATTGTGCTCTCATTCATTCCATCCCTTCCTGTGTAGTGTAAATTCCCTTTTCTGGATCCAACCACAGCTAGCTGTGACTGCCAGCACTAACAGGAGGTCTTGTAGAATTATGTGTGCATCTGCACAGAGAATCAGTAGAGTAGTGTTTTATTGGTGTTAGAGGGTAGAGGAAAAAAAACAATATTTCGGATATGAAATCTAAAGAGCAAGAAGCTCTTTAGCATTAAATAGTTTAAGTGATGAAAGGATTTAAGTGATGGAGTAGAGATTGAGGTGGTATTTTCCATTCTTGTCCAAGGATATCTTTGGGGGAAAATAAGAAATGTTATACCCTCATACTTATGTGGGATGTGAAAGTAGATGTGCTTTTATTTGTATATAATGCCTTCATGGCAACTGTCAGCTCCCAGTTTGAATCAAATTTGAAAATTTTGAAGGCATGATGAGTACATTTGGTTTTCATTTTTTATAATGTATTTTGGTCATTGTAGCCAAAGTTGGTTTTTATTCAGTGGAAGGTAAATTTTGTTTGGGAAGGTTATTCCTGTAGATGCGGAGCCCCCTGTGGACAAAAAGCCATGTGAGGGGGGGTGAGGAGGTGGGCTGCAGTTAAGGAAGAGAAGGGCAGGATAAAATTGCCCTTCTTCCACAAGTGCAGCTCTGCTGATGAAAGAGGAAGGATGGAGCGACTTCATTCCCTTCCTTCTCTCTGCAGGCCTCTCCACTGACATGACCCAGATAGTTGTTTATTCATATGGGTTCCACCACTCCAGGAATTATTTTCTCTTGGAATTAAAAAAAACGACTGCAGGTGGTGGTGGGGAGAACTCAGAAAATATCAACATTCTTTCTTTGGCAATTTGTTTAATGCAAGCTTTAGCTTCAAAACAATTCTTGTCCACTAGGGTATAATTCTGGCAAATACAGATTTCTGTTTAGAGACTTTTAAAAGTTTCTATCCTGTTCCGATACATGGGGTCTAAGTGGATATTAAGGAACAAGATTGTTTGTCTGGAAACATGTGGGTATTGTAGCAATGGTTTTTCAGATGGCTATGCTCTGTGTCTTTAGTATACTTAGCTTCTGCTGCTGCTAGTACAAGGTAGGCTGTATAGATAATAAAACAGCCTGGGTTATATAAAGCTGCAATCTTGCAGAAACCTATTTCCATTCTTTCCCAGAGAAAAGTTGGTGGTTTTCCTGTAGTACAGGAGATCCATCCACTTCCTATGTACATCACACCACACCAAATGGGACAACCAAACTAATCGAGATTGTTTCTGATTGCAACTGGGAGGAGGATCGCAATGAGATCTTGAATATCCTATCACAGCACATCAAGAACAAGATGCCAAAGTCCCTCAAAGTGGGAAACTTTGCTATTGATCTAGTATCTGAAAGCAAAACCTGGGATGAGAAGAACACTCCCATCTATTCTTCCCGAGTGAAAATCTCCGTGCCTTCTTGCCAAAACAAGGATGAAAAGGTTCACATACCTGTTTTGGAGCCACCTAATAATAGATTGTCACCAAGCAAAAGGACAGAAAAAATAACATTCTTAATCCCTGGCTCCTTGGGCAAATTAGAAGAACAAAGGAAGAAGGGCCTGCCTTTTTATGCTGGACTTTTTCCTGCAGGAAAACTGGCTGCCTATACATGCAAATCTAATTTGAATCCTTCATGCCTGATTCAGGTAGGTTTTTCTGTTGAGATCAAACTTCTTTCTCTGTTTTTGAACTTCAGCTGCAGTATCTCAAATAGTATAGTCTAGGCACTAAGGTTTGCCACCATATCTGCCATTCATGAGAACTAAGCTGCACCAATAGGTTGAGCAAAGTTTGGAAAATAATGCTTATGTATTAGCTTAACTAAATTCATTGCAGCTGCTAAGAGTCTTGGTGAAGACTAATGTTTTGATGAGAGCTGTTAAACCCCCCCCCCCTGTTAAATCTCCAGATGAAACAGCCCAGATGCCTTTGCAATAAATTTATTTGTCTGTATTCATCATTTTGGTCTTACGTATTGCATTTCGTATGTGGTTTGAGGTCATTGCTCCTTGTAATTTAAATGTCTATCATAGTCTCTTATGGTAATTCACTATGAGGTTCTCAGTATTTTATCGTTTGGCTTAAAACAGTTTTATAGTGTTTGTGAACGTGCTCTGATCCAAAACCACATTAGATTAGTGTAACGTGCTTTATGTGGGGGTTGCCTTGGGAAACTGTCTAGGAACTCCAGTTAAAGTTAAAGTCCAGTGGCCTGCCTGGCAGTGGCCTGGCTGTTGTCAAGGACAAGATCCTCCTACCAAATCTTGCTTTTTATGCCCTCCCCATCTGCAGCAGTGAGATGGGTGGTGATCAAGGTCACAAGTGTTTTTTGTTTTTTTTAGTGGTGATGCCTCAGCTTTGGAAAGTCTTTCCCTGACTTTACTGTCCTTTAGGCACCACGTTAAAACATTTCTATTTACCCAGGCTTTTAACCGAAGAGTTCCATTTTTTTAATCTGTTTTTATGATCTGCTTCTAGCTCGAGGACTGGTTTATTAGTATTGCTTTAGGCTGATGAATTTTGCTGTATGCTGTTTTATGCTCCTAGCTTTTTTATGGCTTGTTTTTTTATTATAATTCATTTGTTTTTTAAATGTTATTGGGTTGACTCCAGTGACCTCTTAGTGGAAGATGCTAACAGGACCTTTCCTACAGTCTCTTCCCACCAACCATCCTTACTGACCCCTGGAAAGTTTATTCCTGGGATTGCAGGATCCGTGTGAATTATAATAGCCATGTGGCTTGGGTGGCTGCAGTGAAAAGGGTGAATGCTTTAAGAACATAAGGAACCCCCTGCTGGATCAGACCAGTGTTCCATCTAGTCCAGCATCCTGTCTCACACAGTGGCCAACAAGCGACTCTGGAGGTCCAACAAAAGGGCATAGAGACCAAAGGTTTTCCCCTGGCAACTTTACCTCTCTAGCCCACTAGTGGAATCCAATTATACCCAAAAAGGTTTCTCTTTCAGGAATTTTGTGAGGACCACAGAGCTAAGATATAGCACCCAAATAGCAGGGGGGTGGGCTTGGGTCAGTGGAATAGCTTCTGCCTTGCATGCTGAAGGTCTCAGGTTCAATCCCCAGCATCTCCACTTAAAAGGAACAGGTGGGAGGCAGTGAGAAAGACCTCTGCCTGAGACCATGGAGAGCCACTGCCATTCTTAGTGGACAACACTGATCATGGACCAAGGATCTGATTCAGTATAAGGCAGCTTCATGTGTACAAGTGCTGCTGCAATTAAACCATGCAAAGGCATGGGCCAAGAGGGTAGCCAACCTACTTTCTGAACCCTTTCTGCTTCTTCCATCAGCTCAGCTCTGCAAGGCAGGAAGGGAAGTCTATTTTTGCCCCCTTCCCATTGCAGCCTCCCAACCCATGTTGCTATTAAAGTATGTGGGTCCATCTATCCCAGGAACAAACTTGCACTGTGTTGGAAAGGACTGGGGGGAGGGGGAATCTGTGAGTCTTGTAACCACGGATTGCTGGATCCAACCCATTGTATTGTTTTTTGTGAGCCACTTTGAGCAGGTCTCTGTGGAGATGATGTATAAGGTTTCTTAATAAATATGTTTTGTGATTTTCCAGAAATTTAAAGTTAATGAAAGAGAATTTACCTTTTGGCAAGCAGATATGTGACCTAATCTGTTATTTTCTTTAGGCCAGATGTTATTGATATGTTGCCACAATATCAGAGAATTATAAAGAAAATAGGAATGGTTAGAAAACCAACTTTTATCCTGTTTTGTACACATATTCAGGGAGTCTAGGAATACATCAGGCTAACAAAAATTGTCTGGCATCTACTTAAATACTTACTGTGTAACTACATGAAAAGGTAGCCATTTGCAGTCTCTAAATATATAGTAAGCCTAGCATTATCAGGATCTTGCTTCTACATCTGCTTAATTATTTGATAAAGTAGGCAAGGTTATTGATCTCACCTTTCCACACATGCTACAGGATAAAAGGGCCAAAATAGACGATGGCAGCTATGGGACCAACCCATGACCACTGACACAACAAAGGAAAATTTACCCATTTTAAGATTGGCATACAGTCCTGACTGGCCTGTAGTGTGATGGCAACAGGCAATCCCACGGTGTCTTTCAAAGGGCAGAAACGGGGGCCCCTCGGCTGCTTTGGCACTTTAAAAGGAGAACAAGATCACCTGTTGCCGCACCACCACAGGCCCCATCCCCTTGTGGCAATTTTAAAATGGCTACATTTTCCTCTAAAATGGCATTGGTGGTCATGTCTAGACCTGGTGGCTGTTATCATGTCTAGTTTGGCCCTAAGCAGCTGCTGTTAAGGTAACACTGATGTGGAAGAGAGAGCACTTTTTTTTCTGCCTTTGAACAGTATGTTTACCTAAAACTATTCAGATGAACAGTGTGGAAAGAAAAAACACATCGCAACTTCGGTCACTCTTCTGTTTCCCCTCCAGATTTTGGGATTCTTTAAAGTCTAAAATGAAAAATAAAGACAATAGCTGTGATATTTCCCAGGCTAAATGTTTTTACTATGCTAGATTCCTTTTGGAAGTGCTAGTTGTGTTAGCCCAAGAAACTTTAGACAAGGGGTCACCATCCTTTTTAATGAGAGCTACTTTTCAGTCATGAAAAATATCCCAGGCCACTCCCATCCACCCCCAACATATTACCAAGTTTTGTTCTGTCCTAGAAATGCAATATAGACTATGAAGAGCACCAGAAATGAGACTACCAGCAAAGCAGCACAGAAAAAAAAATCTACGAAAAAGCCTAGAACAGATTTTTTTGCAGTCTTTTCTGGGGGATACACAAGCTTTTCTATAGTAGCTGGTGAGACCCCTGCATTAAACTTTTCCCCTAACTCTATGCTACATGGTGAATTGCTTTTAAAATCGAGAGGTTTCAACATATATAGTTGGGAGGGGAGAGGGGTCAGTTGTTTAAGGAAAACAGGCAGAATTAAGGTAACATAAGCCCTCTGAATAGCTTAAGCTGTTCTTTTAATCTTTGCCATTGTCTAAAAGGGCAGAGTTAACCACTGTTGGCATTTTCTCTCTCTCTTTGCAGGTTAATGGTAAAAATTATCCTCAGGCCAAGCTGCTTTTGGGACAGATGGGAGCATTACATCCAGCCAATCGACTTGCTGCTTATATCACAGGCAGGTTGCAACCCACAGGTCTTGACCTCTCAACTCTCAGTACTGTGGTCTCCAAGGTTGCTGGTTCTGAGCCGCAGTCAAATACTGCCAAAACACAAGTTTTCACCAGGACATCCTCTGGAGCACGCCGATATGTTCGTGCACCAGCACGGAGACACATAGGTAGGTTAGACCATTATAGTCTTTGTTTTTAAAAGCAGCATTCACGTTTTCTTCTGTCCACTACACTACTAGTACTTAAGAACACAGACATCAGCTTCAAGGATGTACATTTCATGCATCTGATGAAGTGAGCTATGACTCATTAAATCTTATGCTGGAATGTATTCTGTTAGCCGGTTTGGTGTAGTGGTTAAGAGTGACGGGCTCTAATCTGGAGAACTGGCTTTGATTCTCTTCTCCTCCACATGCAGCTGCTGGGTGACCTTGGGTCAGTCACAGTTCTCAGAGCTGTTCCCTCAAGAGCAGTTCTCTCAGAGCTCTCTTAGCTCCACCTACCTCACAGGGTGTCTGTTGTGGGGCGATGAAGGGAAGGGATTGTAAGCCACTCTGAGTGAAGGGCGGGGTATAAATCCCATATTTTCTTCTTCCTAGTGTCTGTGGTACCACTGCACTTCTGTTTTGTTTAGGCAGACTGAAGTTCCTTTAACTTGCCTTTGCAGTATCCACTGGGAGTGACTTATTTTGTATTTGGGTTATCTTTGCAATTGTGGATGTTGCTCATGTAAATATTAACATGGCCATACCTTAATTGTAATTTTCATACAGCATTGCTGTGTGGTAGAAGAGATGAGCTGTGTTTCACTAAATGAAATATGCTGATTAAATTTTTGTATTACACATATGACAAAGTACTAAATCATTCTCTATTGATAATACAGGAAGGTAACACTGTTGGGAAGCTTCAGCTAGTGAACAGTGTGGGCTTGCCCCTCTTTTTGATGACTCTGAGATGGTTGTAAACCTATTCAGCCTGTGTTACAGCATTTGCACTCATTTCCAATGTTCTCTGGAGCCCAGTTCAACTGGTTGGAACATCTAAATGCCTTCATGGCCTGGAACCCACATATTTTGGAGATTGCCTCTCCCTATACCAATCCCCATGCCACCTGTGTTGTTCAATTGAGATTCTACATTGTATCAAGGTGGGAAGCTTAACTGTAGTTGCTAGAAGCATTGGTTTTAGATTAGTGATTTGAGATTGTGGAATGTTACCCCCCAGGGATGTCTTTAGAAAGGACTTCGTAGCATACCTTTTCCAACTGGCATTTGATTTAGGTGGTTAGGAAATATTTCAGCCTGGTCTGTGTACGGTGATCTTTGATGTTGTTTATATTCCTTTTTTGTATTTCATTTTGAGCTTTTGGAAAGGTGGTCTAAAACTGTTTTAAACAAACAAGGAGTTAGTAGAGTACACAGGACAAATCTGCTCTGCATTGTTCTTAGCCCTTTTCTTACTCAAACAAATCAACCTAAGCCTCCTGAATTAGTCAGAAGAATGAGTACACCTTAGAGAAAGCATGCCCTCATGGCACCCATCCTCTGAATCTCTACCATTGTTTTAGAGCTTCTTTTTACTGTCCAAATGATGGCTAAGTATGGAGCAGCTTGAATTCAGTGGAAGAGCCTAGACTGCCACAATCTTTCCTTGAGCTCAAGACAAGCTCTTTCAGTCATATGGAGGTGGGGGTTCCTGCTGACCTGGTGGCAGATGCAGATAGCATACTTTGATGGATGAGTTATTCTTTTTTCTATTGTTAAAGTGGTGAGGGGGGAGAGTTGAGCACCTCATCCATCTCACTTGTACCTCTTTGCACCTACAGTTATTGCATGGAATTATCTTCAATTAAAGAAAGAACAGGTGGTCTTTCCTAGAGCCCAAAATGTTCCAACCTATGCTATAGTTTGGGCAGTGAAGTGGGCTACACAAATTCAGACTCTCCCATCTTTTGAATTCATTAGGGAGAGAAGGATTGGGCTCAAGGGAAGTCTCTTTTGAGGTGAGCTTCCTCAGACCCAACTGACCAGGACTGGTTTGGGGGCCAACACAGTCTCTGTCCCAAATCCACATCTGAAGCTACACTTGAAAAGTGTCAGATTCAAAGGAAGAAATTACCATTCTAGATTGCTTATACTTGCTCTGTTGTTTTATGTTCAGTTACGTTGCCCAAGGCAGACATTTAACATGGGTCTGAAAATAGCCATGTTGTCCTCACCTAGTGATGGGTTTTTTAAACCTAAGACTTAACTAGCTTTTTAATCTACTATTTTGAACCGGTTTCTAGAAGAGCTAAGGGGCTGATAAGTCCACTGAGAAATTTGGTTTTTCAGCTAGCTTTTCAAGAATTCTTGAATAATGTGATTGGGCTATGTGATTGGAAAATGTGATTTTAGGTTTGTGCTTCAATATGTAGTGTCTTCGATATGTGATGATTACCTTATTAAACACTGTCTCTTTAGATGACAATATTTTGAGAACTACTTTGAGTTTTGGAAAGGTTGGGAACACATCTTTTAAATCTCTTATCTTGTCCACCTCCTAGTTGGTCACTTTGTACATCTGTATGCAGCAACAAAATATAGATGATAAAATGTAATGGCAAAAGTACAAAAACGGATATGTCTTGTAAGGGCAGTTCTAAATGGTTCAGATAAAGAGCCTAATATCACTCAGAACTAGGGATGGGCACAAACTGGGAAAACATCCTGAACCCAGCTACTCTTCTAAATCAAACTGGTTCGGGAAGTTCAGGACACGGGGGATGCCCCTGGGTGTTCTAGAGGCTCCAAAATTGCAGGGTATCTCCAACTGACTCTCCTTACCTGCCCACCAAGTTTGGTGAAGATTGAACTTGGAGGAGTTCATTGGACCCCAAAGAAGATGCTCCCAGGAAAGTACTTTTTGGGAAGATGTCTGGCACAGGTTCTGGAGTGTATCGAGTGGATCCTGTGCAAGCTAGAGGCATCAAATTTGCGGTGCACCTCCCCAGGATGCCCCCCCAATATGCCCTACAAGTTAAGCGCAGATTGGACTTGCGGGTGGGTCTGAGTTACAGACACCCAAACAAGGTGCACCCAGGAAAGTGCTTTTCAGGGAGATGTCAGGCACAGATTCAGTAGTGTATAGAACAGGCCCTGACTTGGGGGGTCCGAGTTATAGCCTGACAAAGAATGGGCCCCCAGAAAAGTGTTTTCTGGGGAAATGTTGTCAAGCGTCAGTTCTGGGCCATAGAATGGACATAACGGACCCTGTGCAACCTAGTAGAGGGGAAGCATCAAACTTGCAGTGGACGTCTCTGGGATGGACACCCCTCTCACCCCGGAAGCATGCGGGAGAGAACTGTTACTGGCACTATTGTGGATGGTTGTGTCCATGGCTGGGCCCACCTGTCCTCTGCAGACAGACAATGTAATTATGGGGCAGAGCCACCCTCCCGCCCTGCCCAGGGCCTGGGGGCTACCCGCACAAAAGCCAGTGCAGCTGGCAGAGCAGTGGATGAATATTTGCCCTACATGGTGTTCTGCTGAAAACATGTGCCACTGCATTCTGGACTAGCTGAAGCTTCTGGGTCAATCTCAAGGATAGCCCTGCGTAAAGGGTAGCTGGGCCCACCCTCCGTCTACAGACAACATACTCACAGGGCAGGGCCAGGGGGCCTGGCTTGGGAACCACCAGCACAGTTGATGGTGGCAGTGTCTCCCTGGGCCTACTCCCCCCTGTGGGCAGCGTGATAACAGGTTAGGGTCAGTCTGCCCACCCAGCCCAAGATGCTTGCACAGAGGTGTGAACTGAAGTTCAATTCTCAGTTTATCTTTGGTCTTGCCCAATCCAATTGCTGCGGCCACCTTTGACAGAACAGATTGCAACCAGAAGGAGTGGTTCCAGTGCGAACCAGCAGCATCCAATTCCTGGGAAGGGTTGGCCCAGCCCTGTAACCACCACTAATCTACTGTAGTCACCTTGGGTTGGGAAGCCCATGTCCTTAAACACCTTGCCAGCTTTGTGAGTGGAAGGGGATGGCCCTGGGCTCGGAGCCAAATAGCTAAGGGATGGCCCTCATTTCCCTCTGTACCATGTGTAATTTACCCAGCCAGGCTCCAGCTTGTGGCTGCTATAAGAGGGACATGATAGTTGGCAACTCTCAGCAAAAGGATCTACCTGGCAGTCCCCTTGCCAGCGAGCAGAGGGAGAGACTGGAACCCCGCACCAGCCTGAATGACAGGACATGCTCCTTGGCAAGCCCCAGCGAGTGAGCACCCGGGAACATCCATACCCTGCAGGCACCTTGCCCGTGGGGTGAGTGAGAGGGGATGGCTCTGGACTGGAAGAAATAACCACCCTCCTTGATGATTGGGAGTCTCGGACACAGTCATGGACCTGGACTTATGTGCTCTCTGATGAGCTCCCCCCCCCATGCAGGACCTTGGTTTGCTGATTGAGGCACCATGACATCTACTGAACAAAATGACAAAGCCGTGGGAGGGTGAGAGGAGGGGAAGGATGGCTCAATGTGGCCCGACCCCATAACAGGTGGAGTTGGCCTTGCTGTGTGATCACCTTGCCAGCAGATGGAGCAAGGTGACATGGTGGCTCTGAACAGGAGCCCGTGACCTTCCTGAGTGGCAAGGAGGTTGCATTAGAATGGGGGGAGGCCCCATGATGCAGCCCAACACCCTATGGCATCACAGGCAGAGCTGGCCTTGCCCTGTGATAACCTTGCCAGCAGACAGATCGAGACGACATGGTGTCTCTGGATGGGAGTCCCCCAGTGATGTTGACTCAACACTGTTGCCAGCCAGCTCCAAAACAAGGCCCTTGCACCCACCATGTCATGACCAGAAACCACATAGCAGAGTGAGGGCCGGGATGGCTGCAGTCAGCTACATGGCAGTGTGAGAGGAGTTGGCCAGAGCGCACAGAAAGAAGGGAAGGCCTATTCGGACGATGAGAAGAGCCACACAACATGAAAGCAAGCCTCAAACAAGGCAGAATGGCTCAAAGGATTATGCCCACCCAGTCGAATACACACCCCAACCCAAACCACCACTGCCGTGGCCACCTTTCAGAGGACAGAACAGAACCGGAAGGGGTCACTCAAGTCTGCTTTGGAGAGCTCAGACTTGACCAGCTCCACCGCGGAGAGGTGCATGGAGTGCACTATCCTGGAGGGGATAGTGTATCAGGCAGACATGTGATGCATCAGCCAGCGAAAGGCCATGTCCTCCACATTGCTCCTTTCTGAGCCCTCTCCCTTGCCCTTTTTCCCAGCACTGGTGGCATCCCTGTGAGCATGACTCTTTGGAGAGTGGCTTGCCTTGTACTCCTGACCACAGCGCCCGGAGCTCCTCTTTGAGTGGCCTGCTCTTCCCCCGTGCCTCCCCCTGCTGAGTGGAAGTGGGCCTCTTCCACTTTCCACTAGTGGCCAACACCCTTTTCTCCAATGGCGAGAATGCAGATGTGCCCCTTGCAGGTGCCTCCAGAGAATGATGGCGGCCAAGTCCCAGCCCCTCCGGACACAGGCGCGCAGCACACCTGGCACTCCATCTCCAGCCCCATAGCCAGTGGTGGGGTGCTGAGGGCAGCATCCCCTATCGAATTTGCAGCACCCCCACACAGTCTTCCCCATCTGAGGCACTTACATGTCTCTTGCTGCACCCCTGCCTTCTCCCGAGTCCCGGCCTCCCAGGCAAGGGTCTGAGGCCCCACCCAGCTCCTGTAAGGAGGGGCGCAGAAGCTACGGGGGCTTAACGCCCCTCGCCAGCCTTGCCCAGTAATCCATCAGAGCTATGATTGAAGGGGGGGAGAGAAGTTGCGGCAGCAGAGGAGCCCCCAAATCCCTCAGCCCTTAAAGGAAGAGATGGGGGGGGCAAGATGGGTCTTTGGTGATTGGTGAAGACAATGGCAGCTGCTACTGTTACCAACAGTTTGCAAGAGCCAAGCCCTGCGCCAACTTCCTGGCTCTCACTTGGTCCCTCAGTGGACACATCCCACTCCTCTTTTTCAAGGCAGCCATCCATTGTTCATTGCCATGGGCTCCGGCGCAAACCTTGCCGGCTTCGTTTGGTAACTGTGGAAGGGGGACTAAAAAGAGACCCACCACGGAGATCCAGGACTGATCCTGCCTGCCTCCCCTTATTCCTGCATTACAGGGATTAGGAGTGAGGAAATCCACCCCAGGTTTCCCTCCCTCATCTTGCCCATCCGGACTTCTGAAGCACGGCTGATTGGAGCTGGCAGCTAAGGTCGGTGGATTGAGAATAGGCTTCCCAGGGTGAAATGAGGTCATTTTCACCGCTAGAATCTCCCTTGTTTTCTGTAGCAGCTCAGGCTGGCAGGCAGGCAACTGAATTGGGGATGGGATCAGCTTGGTTGGGGAGCTCATTTTGACCCAGCAGTCACACTGGTGATGGTTGGCTGGTTTATGCTGGAGATAACATGTTGCAAATGGTGCCCTTGGCTTGGAGCAGGAAGTGAAGCAAGTCCTCCCTGGAAGGAAGGGAGGGGGCTAGAAGCAGGCACTTGGAGCAGGAAGTGAAGCAAATCCTCCGGAAGGAAGGGAGGGGGCTAGAAGCAGGCATTTAACTGCAGGGGCTTTGGCAGTAGGATTCAAAAATCATAAAAGTGGGGATTTAATTGGCACACACACCCCCCGGCGTCCTGGCAACCCCCTTCCAAATTCCTGGCTACAGGGCTGTCCACTATGCATGGGTCACTCCCAAGGGTGCAGAAGTATTTCCATGTGGTGAACTGTGTTCCCAAGCCCATGGTTGGAGCAGGTGGGAGGCACAGCTGCTTCCTGGTGTTGGGCCAGGGAGTGCTAGATGGGAGTGTACCAATGGAAGCAGGAGCAGCAGGAAGTTGGGAATCTTGGGAGGTGGAAGGGGAGGATGCATCATCACCACCACCACCACCACCACCCCTCCAAGTAAATTTAATCAGTCTTCTCCCTTCCAAACAGAGTTTTGTGCTGCAATTTAGGTGGCAGCACTGAAAACTCTTGAGCAGCAGAGAGCTCGGTGGACAGAGCAGGGGAAGTGGACACCAAGATCCTGAATGATCTGCTGGGGGCATCTTCTGCTGTGGAGGAGGCTGTGCTTGTCGCCAATGACCATGTGGCACCGGAAAGCGATGGCATCCTCCCATGGCCACAAGCGTGACCCACCCACTCTCATGGTGTCGGAACACCTGACCAAGCAAGCACTGAACCCAACCACAGCCTAGTAGGTCAGTTGCCAGACAGGCAGACAGGGCAGCAGGCAGACAGGCACAGATCAATGGCTCCTGAGGAGAAGCAGGTCAGTGGGGGTGTGTGTTTCAAAGGGAAAGAATGCACCCCAGGCAGTAACTGGAACAAGGTAGGCACACAAAGATTGCCCACCAAAGAGAAGCACGTCAATTGGGGGTGTTTCAAATGGAGAGCTGGGAGTAAAGGGAATGCACCCCAGTAACTGTGGAACAAGCCTACCAAAGCAGGTTGGGTGCAGGGAGGCCAGCTGACAAGCACAGATCTCCCCCCCACCCCCCGAGAAGTCGGTCAGTAGAGGGGGGTTTAGTTGGAGCGCAGTAAAGTCAGTGGGCACAAGCACAGTTCACCCCAAAACAAAAAGCAGCCCAGTGTGTGTGTGGGGGGGGGAATAAAATGGCAGATAACTAAGTTTGAAGCCCCCTCGAAAAAGCAGCCTGAAAAAAAACCCCAAAGAGCAATCCCTTGTTGTCTTACTGCAACCCAAAGGGTGTGTGTGTGTGAAATAAAATGAAAAGAAAAAGGAAGGGAAAGCACCAAGGAAGCAGACAGCATGCAGGAAAATCTCGCTGAACAAAAATGCTATAATGTGAAAGAGGAACTGAATCCCAATTTTCCCACCCTTTGCAGCAAATGGAAACTGAATTGCAAAACAGAGGAATCCAGGGCAAAGTAAAGCCCCCTAACTGAGTAAGCTAGCTAAGCAATCCCCACCACCACACCCAGCAGTGAAGCTCCTTTGCCATCGTGAGTACACTCTCTCCATCCAAAGCCACAATGCCAACAAAGGGAATGCGCGCTTGTCCTACATTTATGTAGATCTGAGTCCCATTGCGACAAATATAAACTCTTGTTAATGGCAGGCAGCAGTGCCTCTCAAGCTTTGGAAGGTCCCTGTTTGTGTTTCCAGTGTTGGAAAACACCAGCCTCACCATTGTCTAGCATTTTTGCACCAGAGTTCCTGGGTGAGTTTCATTGTCCAAGTCACACCCAAAAGCTTGGAGATTTCTTTGAAGACCACAAGCGTGCCGAACGTCACCTCCTGAGTTTTAGTTCGTGCCCATCCCTATTCAGAACTTGACATTTACAAATCAGTGTTGAAGTAAAATGCCCAGTTTTGAACTACTTTATTCAGTAAAGTTAAAAAATTACACAAAAGAGTTCTTTTGTTTCTTACAAAGACTAGTATTAACTGTGCTGTCTCAGAGAATGTCTTGGTTTATGCTGGGATATGGAGAGGGAAAGAAACTTAGATTTTGACCTTGTAAGTTTTTATTTTCAGCTGCCCGGCCGTCAGTGGATAGTTTGCCCTCTCAGTTGGTAATGAATGCTGTTGGAGCTCTGCAGCAGAAGATCCTTGCAGTTAAAACACCCCAACCTCTAACAGGACCACAGAAATTTAATATTAAGTTTGCACCACTATCTCCCAGGACAAGTTCCATTCCTGCTGCTGCTACTAGTATTACTGTGACGCCATTTCCTGTAACCATTTCTAGTCATTCAGAATATAAGGAAGCTACCTGCTCTTCTGGTACTGCTTTAGTGAATACTAGTGAAAAATCTGAAAATAGTTCCCATACCACAGTCTCACCCACAACTACTATGGCTACTGTTACAATAACAAAATCTACTGGAATAGCTACACCAATTGCAACCATTGCTTTTGCGAAGTCTGTAGTAGCCACATCAACTGTTCCAGTTTCTGCAGCACCTCTGTCCACTGTCTTAACTGCATCACCTGCCACAGTGACTACACCAGTTTCAACAGTTGACTGTGTTCGTACTGTACCATCAGGAATTCAGACAAGTCCTTTATCAAACCAAAAACAAGGTATGATTCCTGTTGATGACCAATTGTTGCTACAAGCTGGTTCACTAGATAGATTGGCACTCTACTAGCTTCACCAGCCTGCTGTAATAGGGGACTGGGATGGCTAATGTGTATGAATGTGTTATCAGGTGGCTTTCCTATGTGACCTGATAGATTAGTGAGCAGGCCTTGGTTTACATATGAGGAAGGAGAAGGTGATAGGTTTTGCTTAATTACCTGACTCCCTGGACAGAAATTTCTGCCAGGTGTTTTGAAGAACTTGCAGCTCCCCTCTTTGACCCAGTACCTTGGCAGCATAGTAATGAGGGAGCTGGTGCCTGACCCCCAGAACCTGGTTCCAAGACTGGCAACACCTGATTAAAAAACTTATCTGATAACTACATGTGACCCTTGAACTTCCTTAAGTCATTATCATGTCTTCATGCCATTAATTAATTGTACTCTCTGTCCATGGAGGATGGTATCCTTACTGTGAGTTATGCCTCCTACTTGCTCTGAGGCAGGGCATATGCAAATTAATTGGATAACTTCCAGGTCCATCTGAACACATATCCCCAGTCCATGTCTTGACTTGCTTTGTGATAGGACAAGCTTCCAACAGTGAGCTCTCTTCACTAGGACTTTCTCCTTATTTCCCCTAGTTGGCATAAATATCTTAAAAAATCCTCTGCCCCATCTGTGGCTTTGCAGCTTGTCTCAGATGCAGAGAAAAATTTTGCTTCATTACAATAGCAGCCTTCTTCCTTCAGTCACTGGCAGCTACCATTGTGCCTGAGCCAGACTTCCTAGGGTTCAGGAGTAGTTGTACCATCTCTTGAAACTGGCACACCTTCCCTTCATTCTGAGATCACGGTGGGGCAGGGGTGGCAATGGAGATTACTTACAAACTGAGGCTTCAGCAGGGGCTGGCCATGTGGATGGGGCTTGGCTTTAATGACACTAGGTCTCTTCTGAGGGTTCAGAATCCAAATCTCCAGGATCCAAATCTCTAGAGGTAGAGACTCCAGGAGCTTCTTAAGGTGCTAGTCTTGGCACTCTCAGCCCTCAGCTGGAGCGTCCATTTCGGCCTTGGCATGCATAGTGTATGCTAGCTAGATGCCATGCAGTTCTTGGTGATCCATTTTCCAGTTCTCTAGGCAAAAGTTATGGTGGTCCTCAGAGAAACTAAACTTTCTTCTTTCCCTTTGGAAAGTCTCTTTGGAGAACTCAACAGAGAACTCTTGGGACATTCACTGTGGCGGGGGGGGAACAGTTCTACTTCTGGTGCCATCATAGGCAGCCAGCTTTGCTCTGGTTCCTGATCAGCCGTTTAAAGTGTACTGTGAAGTCCATCATTTACCTTGGCACTACAGTCTCCCTCTGCATGCTGTTCCTTCCAGAAGATGTCTATCCAGCCTCAAGAGATCTGTTGTTCTCTTCTCAAGCCACATGGGTGGATCAGTTGTTCCTAGCCTGTATTTTGTCTTGCTGGTTTCTAGCATGAACATTGTCTCTTGGGCTACATAGAACACAGCACATCTGTTATGGTGATTCGTGCTTTCACACCAGGACAGAATCAGCAACAGCACAAGCAGATTTCTCTACTGTGAGAAGTTTGCCGATCCCTCCTGTTGTGGCTCCAAGACTCCAGTCTACAAAAAATATGTTCCCTTTCCAGAGCCTTTCCAGATGCAGATAACTTCAGATGCAAGTCTCCTTGGCTGGGGATCCTACAGCAGCCACCAGGTAATCCGGGATAAATGGAGTGACTCCGTTGCCAAACACAGAGTAAACTGGGTAGAGCTAAGAGCAATTTGTCTCACCCTCCACAAATTTCAGCAAGACCAGACAAGACATTCTAATCCTCACCAACAGAATGGTGTCAAAGGCACATGTGAAATGCCAAGGCATGACAAGTTCCTGCTTCCTTCAACAAAGGCACACCAGCTTCTTCTTTGAGCAAGAATGCACACAGCATCTCAACATCTCCAGCATATCCCAGTCAGAAGGAGCTGACAGTTTGGACACCCTTACCACTGTGTTGTCCCTTTGCCTACTTATACGCATTCCTTCTGATTCCACTCATTACCAGAACTCTCATCAGGATCAGCCAGGAGGTAGCAGAGGTCATCTTCATAGCTCCCTACTGGCCAAGAAGACCATAGTTGTATCTGGTAGCAATGGGAATGTCACTTACATGGATCATCCCACTTGCACATTACATCCCTCTTCAGTGTCCTTAGTTGCAGCCAATCCAGACTGCCTCCACCCTTCTGCTTGGGTATTGAAAAGAAGTCTCTAGAACACTGTGGTTACCCAGCTGAGATAGTGAACATCATTTTGGCTTCTGGACATTCCTGTTATATGAAACCCATTGGAACACTTTAACCAGATGGTAGTGCATGGACAGTAACAAAAGGCTAAAAGATATGATGCCGGAAGATGAGCCCCTCAAGTCAGAAGGTGTCCAATATGCTACTGAGGAAGAGCAGAAGGCAAGTAAAAGTAACCCTAGAAAGAGTGAAGCGGCTGGGCCAAAGCCGAAAGGACGTTCAGTTGTGGATGTGTCTGATGGTGAAAGGAAGGTTCTATGAAGACCTACAACACCTTATAGAACTAACACCAAAAAATGATGTCCTCATCATCATAGGGGACTGGAATGCTAAAGTAGGAAGTCAAAAGGTAACCGGAATAACAGACAAGTTTGGCCTTGGAAAGCAAAATGAAGCAGGGCAAAGGTTAACAGAGTTTTGTCAAGAGAACACACTGGTCATAGCGAACACCCTTTTCCAACAACCTAAGAGGCGACTCTACACATGGACATCACCAGATGGGCAACACCGAAATCAGATTGACTATATAATTTGCAGTCAAAGATGGAGAAGCTCTATCCAGTCAGTAAAAACAAGACCTGGAGCTGACTGTGGCTCAGATCATGAGCTACTCATTGCAAAATTCAGACTTAAACTGAAGAAAATCGGGAAAACCACGAGGCCATTCAGGTTTGACCTAGATCGCATCCCTGATGAATATACAGTAGAGGTGAAGAATAGATTCAAGGGTCTGGATTTGATAGATAGAGTGCCTGAAGAACTATGGACAGAGGTTCGTGACATCGTACAGGAGGCAGCAATCACCACCATACCAAAGAAAAAGAAATGCAAGAAAGCAAAATGGCTTTCTGATGAGGCTTTACAAATAGCAGAGGAAAGAAGGAAAGCGAAAGGCAAAGGCGAAAAGGAAAGATTTACCCAACTGAACGCAGATTTCCAGAGAACAGCAAGGAGAGATAAGGAGGCCTTCCTGAATGAACAGTGCAAAGTAATAGAAGAAAACAATAGAATGGGAAGGACTAGAGATCTCTTCAAGAAAATTGGAGAAATCAAGGGAGCGTTCCATGCAAAGCTGGCCATGATAAAGGACAAAAACGGTAGGGACCTAACAGAAGCAGAAGAGATTAGGAAAAGATGGCAAGAATACACAGAAGAACTATACAAGAAAGACCTCAATGTCCTTGACAAACACGACGGTATAATCACTGACCTTGAGCCAGACATCCTGGAATGTGAAGTTAAATGGGCCTTAGAAAGCATTACTAACAACAAAGCTAGTGGAGGTGATGGTATTCCAGCTGAGCTATTCAAAGTCTTAGAAGATGATGCTGTTAAAGTGCTGCACTCCATTTGCCAGCAAATTTGGAAAACGCAACAGTGGCCACAGGATTGGAAAAGATCAGTATACATTCCAATCCCAAAGAAGGGCAATGCCAAGGAATGTTCAAACTATCGCACAATTGCACTCATATCACACGCTAGCAAGGTCATGCTCAAGATCCTACAAGCTAGGCTTCAACAGTACGTGGATAGAGAACTACCAGAAGTACAAGCTGGGTTTCGAAGAGGTAGAGGAACGAGAGATCATATTGCCAACATTCGCTGGATTATGGAGAAAGCAAGAGAGTACCAGAAAAATATCTACTTCTGCTTCATTGACTATGCTAAAGCCTTTGACTGTGTGGATCACAACAAACTATGGCAGGTCCTTAAAGAGATGGGAGTACCAGACCACCTCACATGTCTCTTGAGAAACCTGTATAAGGGCCAAGAAGCGACAGTTAGAACCGGATACGGAACAACTGATTGGTTCAGCATAGGAAAAGGAGTACGACAAGGATGTATACTGTCACCTTGCTTATTTAATATATATGCAGAGTACATCATGCGAAATGCTGGCCTGGATGAATCACAAGCGGGAATTAAGATTGCTGGGGAAAAGATCAACAACCTCAGATATGCAGATGATACCACTCTAATGGCTGAAAGTGAAAAGGATCTAAAGAGCCTCTTGCTCAGAGTAAAAGAGGAGAGCGCAAAAGTGGGCTTGAAGCTCAACATCAAAAAAACTAAGATCATGGCATCCGGCCCCATCACTCCTTGGCAAATAGAAGGGGAAGCTGTGGAAGTAGTGACAGACTTCACGTTCCTGGGATCCCAGATCACCGCAGACTGTGACTGCAGCCATGAAATTAAAAGACGCCTGCTCCTTGGGAGGAAAGCGATGGCGAACCTAAACAGCATGATAAAAAGTAGAGACATCACCCTGCCAACAAAAGTCCGCATGGTCAAAGCAATGGTATTCCCAGTAGTCATGTATGGCTGCGAGAGCTGGACTATAAGGAAGGCCGAGCGCCGAAGAATAGATTCTTTTGAACTATGGTGCTGGAGAAGACTCTTGAGAGTCCCTTGGACTGCAAGAAGAACAAATCAGTCAATCCTCAAAGAAATCAACCCTGACTGTTCCCTGGAAGGCCAGATAATGAAACTGAAGCTCAAATACTTTGGCCACCAAATGAGAAGGGAGCACTCACTGGAGAAGACCCTGATGCTGGGAAAGATTGAAGGTCAAAGAAGACGGGGACGGCAAAGGATGAGATGGTTAGACAGTGTCA